ACTAATTAAGTTCCACGTCTGAAAAAAACCGTCAAACTTTAATAATTTGGGTCGACCTAAACAGGTGTTAATTTCGGTGCATGAAAAGTTTAATGTTTGAACTGAGCCTTAGTGTATTGACTGATATGAAAACAGTATAATGCATACACGACAGTTCCGTGCCGTTATTCTTTTCAAACAATTTCCAGTGTGATAACTGTATATAATGGCGGTCACGGGTAATGCATAAAATCCATTGTTACTTTTCTCCTGTAGCCTTTTTTATTAGTTTATCACTTTTTCAAGATATCTTAAAGCTTTCTGTTTGCTTTTTCAAAACTGAACGGAGACTTTAAAAGCAGAACCTTTTTGTGGGGTCTGATCATTTTTCCCTTTGTTTTGTTTCCTTCTTTAAATGTTTTCTAAACGCTTTCTAAAAGTACCTGTTTCACAGTTCTTTCCATAATATCCGCCCGGGCATACGCAAGAGTAGTCTTCACCAGCTACCACTGAGCAGTTTCCGTCATTCAGGCAGGGGTTCTCGGCACAAGGACTCTGAACTGAAACACAATTTAAGTTATTTTTTAAGCCTCACAACAAACATTGATTAAAAATAAAATTGAATGTTTTAAAACCATCAGTTGTTGTTGATCAGTGTAGATATAAATTCATATCATAGACTGCGAGCTGTCTCTATTTAAATGTTTCTCTCGAGTCACAGTAGTTCGAGTGCACGCTCGAGGGGCGAGCGGCGAAGCTTCCCGAAGCGAAGCGGTCTATAACCATGTACAAATACTACCCCGAAAACAAATGTACAAATACTTGGCTGAGAATTCTATCGCCAAACATAAACAAAGGAATGCAATTGTTATAAGACACATAACAGACAAGTAAAGCTCTCATGAACCTTTTTGAACAGGGATCTCTGGTTTCAGGTAGCGAGGCACAGATTTAGTGAAAATGCGAAGATTGCGCGGAAACACAAGTATCAATGGCGCAAGAAAGGCAAACATTTCTTGTATTTCACCCAATCATTTTTCGGGTTTGATAGTTAATGTTAAGTCTTGTCCCAGTTTTAATTATTTTCTCTCATTTTATTTTGATAGCGAGTCTAGGTAAATTTGATCTCTGAACAAACATTGTCATTCAGGGAAGGCTAATCCAAAGGAACTAACTCGTAGGCGAATAATTTTCAGCAAATTCACTGAATATCGTGGTAAATATATTGTAGGCTAGTAAAGAATGGCCGAATTAAAAAAAATTAAATTAAAGCATCTTACTTCCAGACGATTCCCCTTTAAGCTGGTCCTCAATGTATCGTTCGGGAAAGAAATCCTCTATTCCGTCCACAAAACTCTCTGGTTCTTCTTCGTCGAAATTCAAAAACTTAGGAGCATCGTCATTAGTTCCGATTGCTCCTTCACCCAACAGGTTTTTTCCATCGGTAGTGAGCCAGTGAAAAGTCACCAGTATAAACACGACAAGAAGATTCATTGTAAATCCACAATTTAACGAGTCCGCGTTGTATCCCAAAGTTCAAAAAGAACAGACGCCTATGTGAAGCACAGTTGTCCTTTTATAGCGCTACACTTTTGAAACTTTACTGAGCTGAGTTTTCAGACTTTTTATTGGCCGAAAACGTGTTAGCGTACATTTTTTTTCTTTCTTTAAAAGGTTTTACACTGAATACAAAGGTGGTGATATAATTTGGCATCGCCCTCGGACTGAATAGTTTTTATATTCTTAATAAGCCTCTGTTTTTTTCCTATCAGACTTTCAATTCAAGGACCAAAAATTTGTATTTTTAGTTTGAAATTAATTCTTTCAACGCTTCAAAAAACTTGTTTGATTTTTTTTGTTGTTTAGATAACCCTGGTATTTCCCCTACGACTTTTTGCGTTTAGATATTTTGGAAAAGGGTTATTATGTTAATTCTAATCATTTCTTTTATTTTCATCAGAATGATTGATTACAGAAAATGATAAAGTATGAGGTGTGCTTCAAATTGTGATCGACTCTATTTTTCAGCTTTCATCCAGTCAGCGGTGAAAACACAAGGATTACGTAACCATTGATACTAATTAGCTCATTACCTGGAGAGTATTGTTAATTGTCTTGCGAATGTACTGATTGTACCGCGAGAATGATCAAACCGTCAACTTTTCTTTCACTGTAAAATATGGAACTCGATTTTAATCTTGGTTAGTTAGTTGAATATCTGCAAAATTTAGTCTTGAAAGGTAGTTAATTACTGATCCAAACATATTTTATTTTTCATGTTTTCATTTGTGTGTTTTTCATTAGTTTTCTACAAAACATGTTTACGATAAAATACTTACTTTAATTTAATTCATAGTGTGTTATCTTACACCTCTTTCTGACTGAGTTGTACTCACACCTCTTAGTGAAATAAGAGTTCAGTCACTAGGTGTGTTAGCTTCACAGCTCATTGTAATTTTCAGTGCCTTATGGGATTGCCGCCGAAAGCTTGAAAGCCAACAAACCCAAGGGTAATTTTTGTCTTTGTGTTTTTAACTCTCATTTGCAAAATCAGGGCTTAGCCGTATGTTGTAATTGTCATCCTATTGTTTTTAAAGCATCTCACTTTAATATGCAGAATGACGGAAACCTTTAAAAGCCATCGGAACAACTCGAATGGCTCAATTACTCTTTGGATAACAGAGAGACGCGTCTCTGAGTTACTTTCTCATCTAGAACCATGGCCGTTCAGAAGTGGATATTTTGCATATTTTCGTTGGTTTTTACCCCGATCATCGCAGAGGAAGATCCTTTATGGTATCAACTCCTGAAAGACTCTGTTGTCATGGATGAAGAACGTGAGTGAAGTGTTGATATTTTTTCTAAGTATATACCCCAATCACACAGAAAACATTTTGGAGCTTTCATGTTTGAAACGACAATTTCCGTTTCTTGTTTTCATAAGCCCTCTTTAGCTTCCTTGGCTATGGCAGTATCTGCAAGTTTTGAAATTTTTTTACTTTCCGTTGTTAATTCCTGCAGTGGATTAAAATCAAATTTTTCTCACCAACCCGGTTTACCGTTGATTTACTTTTACCTTGGGTTAAGTGGCCAAATTTAAAACTACTTGAAATTTTTTTTGGCTACGAACGTTTCACTGGAGCTTTCTTCTGTTATACGAAGTTACGTCGAGAGATACAGTTATCCTAATGCTGCCCGGGTCAAACTACAAAAGTCCAAACCAGTATATTGAAAAAAATGATTAAAAACTTAGAGTCGTATTCTCTTTGTTCAAAGTTAATAATATTAATTGAACTGGATTATCTTGGAGAAGCTGAATTTCTGTTAAGTTACACTGCCAATTAGTCAAAACTTCTTAGATTCGAAACATCTAGACCATCTTTTCTTAGCCTGGGAAGATTATACCCCATATTGGTGTTCCAAGACGAAAGGTTTATCAACACCTTTGGCTGACTCTGTGAAATCGTCCGAGGCTTGCATTGCTTTGTGTCTTAAGTCAAATCCCAACTGCAAAGCCGTAGAATGGTGGGAAAACGATGGCCAAGACTGCTTTGAATGTACAAGGCCATCTTTGAAGACTAAATTTACTGACACCACTGACGGAGGGTACCCACCGCACGTGCTTGTCAAACCAGAGAAACCTGCAGGTGAGTTGAAACCTTTTGCTGGAAAAGTGCTAGAAGTCAAAATATGGTTTAATAGTACCAGGTGAAAGTACTGCTCAAGAGGTTTGAATGGTCACACCATAGGATTTCATCCACAGACGCAAAAGTTAGATCTACATACTAAATAAATAGTACTGTGTGAAAGTACTGCTGAAGAGGTTTCATTTGAATGGTAACACCATAGGATTTCATCCACAGACTCGAAAGTTTGAACTACATACTAAATAAATAGTACTGTGTGAAAGTACTGCTGAAGAGGTTTCATTTGACCGGTCATACCAAACTGGTTCGTCCTTTAAATTTTCTTTTAGTTCCAACAAACTTGCATTTACATGTATATGTTCACTGCACACATCATGTTCGGATATTTGGAAAATTTATGTGTAGCAGCTGCTCACTCATTGCCTCAGGGATTTGAGCAATGCAGTGACGTCAACGCCCTGATCATGAATTGCCCTTCTATTTCAGCTCCTACCAAGTGTGACCCTAACCCTTGTATGAACGGTGCAACTTGCAGACCCGCTCCTCAATCTCTTGTTGGATATAAATGTACTTGCTTACCTGGCTACGCAGGAGTTAATTGCGAGGACGGTGAGACGGAGTAATTCTAACTGCATTTTCTCCTTACAATCACAGCTTCCATACTATATTGCACTGTTGAGAAAACGACCTTTTGCCGTTTCCGCCCTTAATAAAATAAAACTGAGATGTTTCCAAAAAAATAAATATTCTACGATTCTAGTAGATGACCTTTCATAGTCTTGTGAAAAGTTAGGATAAGATTTCTGATAATTTAGTTGCAATTTTTTGCTGTTGTTTTAAAAGTGTTACCCTTGGACGAAATATTATTCAAATTTTTAAATTTTGTATTTTGTTTTTTTGTTTTCTATTTTTCACTTTTTTTTCTCTTTCTTTTTTAGATGTGGATGAATGTGCCAAAGACAACGGCGGATGTTCACACAAATGCAAAAATACAGAAGGCAGCTTCGTCTGTTCGTGCCCTGATCCGGAGTTGAATTTGGCACCCAATCGTCGTACGTGCGTCGGTAAGAAAACCTATTTTTTGGGACTTTTTTACAAACAAAATAAAGCAAAGGAAAAGAATGAGGGCGAAAAACAAAAAGTTAGTGAGAAAATTCAACGTTCCAGTCATCAGTTAAACTTAGTAAAATAAAAGCGATACATTTACATGTGTAAAGCTAGCAGATCTTAATTAACTCCAACCTCAACTTCATTCAAATCATCCAAATTATTGATGCATTTTCTGTGGAAAAAAATAAATGTTTTCCCTTTCGTAAATTTTTTCGACAGACAGCGGATTTCACAGCTTCTTAAACGTTCATGGAATTTCTTAAATTCTGTTACTTCTATAACAACTAGGAAATCGTAAAGTGATTTAAAAGATTTAACCTAAGCAAAACAAAATTTATCCTTTTAGCTTCTGGTGTTTCTGTCAAATGTCGTCAAAATAACATGTCCATCACCCTGCCCAAAGCTCTTGTTCTCGGCTTGAATCGTGAACATGTCACCCTGCGAGATGTGAAGTGTGTTGCCAAGGAAACAAGGACAGACTTCACTCTTACGACTGCATTGACCGGCTGTGGCACAACCGCCAGACACAGAGGAGGTTTTGTGGTTTATAGCAACACAGTCCTGGAGATCCCAGTTGCAGATGACGCCATTATAACGAGAGTTCGTGAGATCGAGATCCCCTTCAGCTGTTTCTACAAAAACTCGGGTGATGCTACTGCTGTTGGAGTTAAACCTGACACCAGGAAGTTGGTTTTTGATGAGGATGGACAAGGAAACTTCACAGTTTCTTTGGATATGTTCCCAGATAAAAGGTCTGTTTATGATCGGTTTTGCACACGATTTAAACAAACATTTGAGCTTATCCACTATCTATTTTCATACCGAAAACGATTCCTTGAAACTGGATGAAACCTTAGAGAAGTTTAGGCTCGAGTGAATTGTATCTTAAATGTGTTTTAGTCCATTAGGGATTTTCTTGGGAAAAGAATAAAACATCAAGGCGATTCACTTATATTTTGTCACTATTTGAAAATCGTTCGTTGTTGTTAGTTTTCTGTTTCTTAATGTTGATCTGCAGCTTTGAGGCAGCTTATACCCAGAGTGATTATCCTGTGGAAGTTAAGTTGAGACAGTACCTCTTCTTCCAAGCATCTGTGAAAACCAAGGACAAAACCCTCTCAGTTTTGGCTGAGAACTGTTACGCTACACCCTCCCAGGACAGAGAACATGATGACAAATATCATCTCATCAAGAATGGGTAATTAAAGAAAAAACTTTTACTGCTTAACAAGATTAAATTTCGGAAATAAAATTTTCAAAAAGCTTAGTAACTAAATGATATATTTAAATGAAAAGACTAATTTTTACTTTCCACTTGGTAGCTATTTCTCATTACGAAAAGTCTTTTTGTTTTTCGAATTGTGTACACTTCACAATCGCATCAAGACTATTTAACACCGCAGCAGGAACTGCGGATTTTTTTAAATAAAATTTTGATTTTTTCGACGAAAACCATCTCAGGCTAGTGTTTTTGCGTTGAAGGACTGTAAAAAAACAAGATTCTGCGACGAAACTACAAATTTGCTATTAAATGCTGAATCTCATGTTTTTAAGCTTTTTTTGTATTCCAGTCCAAGATCACAATAATGTCATTAGAAACTTGAACTTGTGATCTTTCAATATCTTGCTTCAATTTTTTTCCTTTTCATAAAGAACCATATTATAGCACACTAATAATTGTTGAGAGTAATTGATGACTATGACATTTCCTACTTTCCAGTTGCCCATTTGATAAAACAACCATCACCATACAATCGCAAAAAGTGGGTGTGGATCGTTTCAGTACGGAGGCGTTTAAGTTCATTGCTGATCACCCATTCGTGTTTGTCCACTGCCAAATAAGGATATGTGACGCAAGTAACCCTGGATCAAGATGTGCACAGGGATGTATTAAGGAAGGCAGATTAAGACGTGACGTTAGCGATGAAGACAAATTATACCCACTGGCACAGGGACCCCTTACAATTGCAAGTGATGCAGCGGAAATGAAATCAAGAAAAAGATCAAATAAAAAAGGTACACGTTCCTTTGGTACAATCACTCACAATGTTAGATAGTAAGAGGAACGTGTCTGTCTCCGTTCTACATTTCGTGATTTAGAGAAAATAAATCCAATTAAGAAGAGTAAGGATGTGCTTAGTTTATAAGAAGCTTACTTCAAGTACCTTGATTTTCTCACGAACGAAGTTTGGCCAAGATCATTATGTTTGCCCAGACTACTTACTAACTGCTTTCGGCTCTTATTGTTACCCCATTAATCTAATAAAGCTTCAACCTCCAAAAAGCTGAAGAATTTCAATTTCAGAATTTCAAAATTTCGCAGAGATCTCAACCAATGAAGGAAACGTATTCCACCGATAAAATACTCCTTCAGCAAGACAAGACTTAAAGTTTTTACACCTAACCAGTTAACTTCTTACCGACATTGTTAACTTGACATCTAACGAAAATTTATTTTCAACATTTCAGATATGACTGTACCAGCTCTGGTTACCATGGGAATACTATCAGCGCTTTGCCTGATGGGAATGGCTTACTTGTCTCGCAAGAAAACAAGCAAGGCCACCGCCTACACTATTGTTCCAGAAAGCTGCGACGAATAAATCAGTTGTATTGGAACTAAATGTACAAACGATTACGACAATAAAAATAGAATTGGATGGAATAATTTCTCTCGTGTTCGATTATTTTACTTCCTATCTGTTATTACCTTTTCTCTCTTCGCTTGAAAAATTTCTGAACGATTGGGTTGGGATTTTCCAGTGAGGTATTAGAACTCCTGCCATGTCTCGGACCAAATGAGCTCAAATTCAACTTCCTTTACACATTTGAAATACCTGACTTGAATAAGCAGAAATGAAACAGTGCACAGACAAGTCTAACCCCATTTCATGACCCCATCTAAGTGCTAGAAGAGCCTTGCTAGAAAACGTTTTTTTCTTGAACAATTTTTCCATAGGCCAAATTAGTTCACTGAAATGAAGGTTCTTTTGAGTTCTTTTGCTATTGTCGGTAGTGCATTGAAACAACATGCTAAAAGCCACTTATGTTTATTTTACTTGCCGATTACTAAGAGTGTATAGTGTGTTTCATTTAATCCAAATACAATACCATTACCATTCCAAGAATGAGTAATTAAAACCACAGGTATCCCAGGCTCAACCGCGCTCATGTGAGGAGGCCACTGTCCAAACCAATCCTGCGGGAGTTGAACTCGTTTCCTATGTAAATTCAGTCTTTCTATTGTCCCCAATAAATTTGCATAGCCTCTCGCCACGTGAGTGAAAACGCTCCATACAAACCAGTGTAGGTTGCGAGTTCAGGAGAAACTTTAACCTGCTCCCAGACTAATACCAGTGAAGAAATCAAAACTCACCGCGATTCCTGAGGCAGCCTTCCTCTCAATTTTACTTGCCGTGGTAAGTGTAAATAATATTGGTTGTAAGTTTTCCAGTTCAACCACACCAAGATAAGCATTGTTTTGTCAACTCAATTTTATATGCATCTAAGATTGGATTCATAATTTAGCTTTGGCTGCCTTCTCCAGTAAGTCTCTGCGTGTGTCCTTAAAATTATTAAAGTCAAGCTTGGGTCTGGTTATATCAACAACAACAACAAAACATTTATTTTCGTAATTTCACTTAATTACAATTTCTTGGCACCCAATCGGTTGTATCTGACAAATGTTTCGTAAACGTGGACTGTCGCACTCAATGTTATATCTGAGGCAATTTGTAATAAACCGTGTCACACTTTGTGATAAAAAGAAAGCTGTCACAATTTGTAATAAATTCATCGCACTTTGTAATACCTGTTATTATCATTATTATTATCAATTATTATTACTATTATTGTTATTATTATTATCATCGTCATCGTTATCGCTCATATGATTAGAATTAGAAGTTAAGAGTGCCGGTTACTGATGGACAGCAATGGTAATGCCTTACAATCTGGATTTGTTTAATCATCATAGCTTGACAGCTTAATTCAAATACTCAAGTTTGCTAAAATCTTTGAAAAAATGATGTCGCGCCCTGAATACGAAATTTCCAAGAGAAAAGCTTTACAATTGTATTTCATTTAGCAAATATTTTACTGATTTGTACATTTTATTCCATAAGTACAAAGGAACTTTTTCTGTATTTATAATGTTTTCTTGCAAAAAAAACTATGATCATATTTTATCTTGACTCGCATAGTAGAAAACATTGAAGAGCATCTTCGATACCATCTCAACCATGTATAGCCCGAGTTTAACTTATACAAAGGTTAGAAGAGCCAGGAAAATTTTACCGTCAACCAGCAATTGATCTGTTATTAAGAAGTACAAACGTATATACAGCAAATGTAGAAAAGACCAATAGGAGCTCCGGAGATGTAACATTTGGGTCGGTGGATGATTCAATAATAAAAGTTAGTGAGGTAGTAAATAGTCACCTTTGCCCAGTAAGGATACGTTAGGCATTTCAATGGAACCACGTAAAACATTTGGACTAGAAGAAATTAACTTTGCAGCGTGTCACACCTCATGAATATCAGCCCAGAACGTTTTTAGTGATCTCTATGCACTGTCTATGCATCATATAATGGTCATTGCATTTAAACTACAGGCGTTAGTTATATATCTGACAAACTATAGTTGAAAATTCTATGACAAGTACATTCAACTGGAGCGGAAATGAACGCAGTTTTCTTAAGTTCGGTGCTTGACGTCACCACTTCTCGAACGAAAGGAACAACACTTACCATGCTTACTAAGGGCTTCAAGACTATTACTGCTCGGACGAAGAAGAACCCTTTAATTGATCAGATTGATTGAGTTTCAATTTAAACCCTTACCTGGACGCCAGACTGGACGCATACCAACCAATGGTTCCTCAGAGACGCTAATTCAGTCTTTTCTAGTAATACCATGTTGCATCCTCTTTTTGGAAAAGCTTGATGCGACAGATTGGATTCAAGAAAATCCTCCGAAAAACTCGGCAAATACAACTTTTAATCTTGATCAGCACTGCAATGGGATTTAGGCCGGAACCTCATTCTACAGAATACTCTCTTCAATTAAACTACTCTCTCCTGCCAAAATGAATGAAACACCACCTAAGTTTGCACATTTTCTACCCCTAGTTAATTCGAGATCTATTTAGAGAAAAAAGTAGGGGAAACCCAAAAATGGAATTTTCTTGCAGATAGCAGTTAATATAATTAATTGTAGCTCTTGATATGGATTGTTCCCAATTCCTTGACGGACAAATACTGAAAAATATGTGAAAAAATTGTATACACTAGAACCCCGGTAACTCGAACTCTGAAAGGAAACGAAAAACGTTCCAGTTAGCAGGGAATGTTAGTTATCGGGGTAAATTTTGGTGAACTTTTGATCAAGGGAAAGGTAATTTAGTTCGTGTTAGCGGGAAGTTCAAGTTATCCGTGTTCGAGTTTTCGAGGTTCTACTGCATCTGTCTTATAAGTAAATGGAAGTCCTCTTGCCTTTTCTACAGCCATCCGTTTTGGTTTTCTCATAAACCGAAATGACCGGGGCACGAGATTGACCAGAATCGGCTCAACCAGCTTAATACGGCGTTTTTTGAACAAGTTTAAAAATGAAAATAATCTCGTTCACTGTTTCTTGTTACATACCCCCTTCCAGGTTCTACGAACAGTCCAGGTTGCAAGAATAATGAATACAGGTTAAGAAAAGATCAAATTCCGTTCTATTCAGGTGCAATTTTCGAAGCTTATCTAAAAAAAGCTCCCTACGATTTTCTGAAATATAATCTTTTTACAATTTACTCCCCTTGTTAGGCTAATTTTCATAGAAAAAGGAAACCTAAAATTTTCTGATTTTAAAATGTGATAAAGAGAGGAATAAGAAAAATTCTCACTTTCATAAAAGGTTCAATTGCATCTAAGATTTTCGACAAAATAACACTGAAGCCATTGTACTTTCGAAAAGCCTCAAGTTCCCCTAGGAAGACCGAATCGATACAAATCTTATAGCGCCGCTTAGATTTCATTTCTAGAGATCTAAGAGTACTCTGCACCCTGGATAGCCTAAAAAGAATTTACAATGCATTTAGGACGAAACCGTCGTTGGGTGCCCCTGGCCTACGCCATGCAAGCTTTGAGAAGAAGGCTTTGGTAAGATTAATGCGAAAGATGTCGAGCTTTTCCGGAACGAGTTGGTCCACGAGTTCTGTTGCTTGAAAGTGTTGATTTCTTTGAAACAAGAAGAATCTTAATGAGCAAAACTTCGATGGTGAGGCTAACTGGTCGAGTGTTACATTCTATGCAAAGGAGTCTTGTGATGAGCATGCGGTTTAGTTTCGAGGATGATTGAAATGAGGTGCCTATGTTCATAACGTTTTTGTTCTCTGCCGGGGCAATGATGGAATTTCTCTCGAATAGAGGCCCTTGTTACGCGTACTCAATCAATTCAGAAATAATCGTGGAATACGATATAAAAAGTAAATATCCTGAATACTGGACCGTCGATAAAGTAGGAAGAAAAAATCTTTTTGCTACGAAATGTTTCGTGTATTAAATTTCCTCCTCATTTCTCATCTTATTTCCAAGCAAACGAGACAAACGGTTAGATAACATTATTTCTTTAAAATTTCACTATGTCACTTATTCTTGTAGTCCTAAATGCATTGGATAAAGGTTATAGTAGGTGCATTTACTTGAAACAATGGGGGTTTTTTCCCTTTATTTCTTCGCTTCGCTGTATTCCTATTCCAATATTTTCATCTTGAAGTAATTAAATCAGCGAGACCGGTCAGATTCATGATTCATACGAAAGACAGTTTCACTTGAGCCTTCCTTTTGATTAACCAATTTTCTGTGTATTGAAAATAAAATTGTCCGAGAAAGTAAACGATCAAAATGAAGTGAAGTTTACTGAAGGCAAAAGATGGTCAAAGATGTCTGCTGATGCACATCAAGTAATTTCATCTGAGCGAATATATAACTGATGGATGTAAAAGCAATCTTACCGAAATAAGAAAAAATTCCTTTTCACTTCAGGTCTGAGAATATAGCAAATTGAACCTTTTTTCTTTTAGACGGGGCAAGGGGTCCACCACCCCCAGGGGAACATTCTCACCAATATTTTTCCAATTACCCACAGGGAGGTTTTTTTTTTTTTTAGTATTTCTTTGAGTCATTAAGCTGAAAGAGAGGAGTTTAACACCTAGGATATTCAGTAAGCGTTGTATTAAAAATGCCCAAAAACAAGAGAAATTGTTCTATCAAATGTTATTTCTTTATTTAGACAATCGATACAACTGAATTATTCGTCAGAAGCTTTCTGGAACAATAGTGTAGGCGGTGGCCTTGCTTGTATTCTTGCGAGACAAGTAAGCCATTCCCATCAAGCAAAGCGCTGATAGTATTCCCATGGTAACCACAGCAGGCACAGTCATGTCTGAAATATTAAACATAAATTTGTGTTAATTGTGAGTGAAAGATGACGATAAGACGTACACAACCCCAATGTAAACCTTGCAGGATGAAACAAATTATTTAGCAGGCGTGGGTATTTAGGAAGCAGGAAAATTCACTCATGACAGTACACTGATGCATGCTGAAATATTTTTTTACCAACGAGGCTCGTTACCTTTGTGTATAATAGTGATAACTGTTTCAGCTCTTTATAGTTCATTTGGATTAATGCAGTGATATACTCATAAAAGTCAGAAGAAATATCGACCGATCATTGTCGTCTTGTGCAGGGTTTTCTATACACACCGATACACATGATGCTAATATGGCGAAACTTCATCTGTCTTACATTAAGTACATCCCTATTCTGCTCTTACTCAAGGGCATTTTTTGATAAATTTCGAGTGCTAGATAAGAGATAGCCACTTTCTTTGACTTCTAACGAGTTCATTGATTATTTTGTTAGAGGAACAAGTACCTTTTTTATTTGATCTTTTTCTTGATTTCACCTCCGTAGCATCACTTGCAATTGTGAGCGGTCCCTGTGCCAGTGGGTATAATTTGTCTTCATCGCTAACGTCACGTCTTAATCTGCCTTCCTTGATACATCCCTGTGCACATCTTGATCCAGGGTTACTTGCGTCACATATCCTTATTTGGCAGTGGACAAACACGAATGGGTGATCAGCAATGAACTTAAACGCTTCAGTACTGAAACGATCCACACCCACTTTTTGCGATTGTATGGTGATGGTTGTTTTATCAACTGGGCAACTGAAAGACAGAAAATGTCATAGTCAGCAATTACTATCAACAATTATTAGTAAAAATGTCATAGTCAACAATTACTATCAACAGTTAGTATGCTATAATGTGGTTCTTTGTAAAAGGAAAAAAATGGAAGCACAGATAATGATCATAATGACATTATTGTGGGCTTGGAATGGAAAACAAGCAAACTTAAAAACAGGAGATTTAGCATTTAAGAGCAAATTTGTATTTTAGATCACAGAATCTTTTGTACAGTACTTCTACATAAAAACATTAACCAGAAACTTCTTAAAAACAATTTTGTTTTTAATTTTTTTTTCAAACTATTCGCAGTTTCAGCTGAGGTCATTCAAAACCCTTGTTTCCATTATGAAGTGTAATGGGAAACAATTTGAAAAACGACAATTTTTCTCAATGAGAAATAACTACTTTTTGAAAGTAAAAGGTAGTCTTTTTTCGTTTAAATATGCAGTCTGCTTAACAAACTTCATGAAAATTTTATTTCCGAAAATCTAATCTAATAATGCGGTAAAAGATTTTTTTGAAATTACCCCTCCTTGATGAGATGATATTTGTCATCATGTTGTCTGTCCTGAGAGGGTGTAGCGTAACAGTTCTCAGCCAAAACGGACAGAGTCTTGTCCTTGGTTTTCACAGATGCTTGGAAGAAGAGGTACTGTCTCAACTTAACTTCCACAGGATAATCACTCTGGATGTAGGCTGCCTCGAAGCTAAAGATCAACATAGTGAAATGCGACACTGACAACATCAGATTATTTTCAAAAAATATCAAAATAAAAGTACGCTCTGCTTTATTCATTTTCAGTTTCTAAGTAATTTCTTTGAGGGCGACAACGCATTAAGGATGCAATTCACTTTACACTAAACTAGTGTCAGGTTTTATGCAACTTCCATGAACGTGTTTCGCTGCAACAGAGGATCATGGATAAGCTAAAATATTTGTTTAAATGGTATTTAAAACCATTATAAAAGACCTTTTATCTGGGAACATATCCAAAGCAACTGTGAAGTTTCCTTTTCCATCCTCATCAAAAACCAACTTTCTGGTGTCAGGTTTAACTCCAACAGCAGTAGCATCACCCGAGGTTTTGTAGAAACAGCTGAAGGGTATCTCGATCTCACGAACTCTCGTTATAATGGCGTCATCTGCAACTGGGATCTCCAAGACTGTGTTGCTATAAACCACAAAACCTCTTCTGTGTCTGGCGGTTGTACCACAGCCGGTCAATGCAGTTTTAAGGGTGAAGTGTGTCCTTGTTTCAGTGGCAACACACTTCACGTCTCGCAGGGTGACATGTTCACGATTTAAGCCGAGAAGAAGAGCTTTAGGCAGGGTGATGGACATGTCATTTTGGTGACACTGCACTGATACACCAGATGCTATAGGATAAAATATTGTCAATGAATAATTATTAAGGTTTTAAAGAAAATTTAAAGTTTCATTCGATACTTGAAAATCTCACTTAATGATAGGCCTGTTACAGCCTAACGTAAAGAACTTGAAATTTCCCAAGAAAGTTTAAGTAGCTATGAAATCAGTTTTAAGACAGAAAAATGTATGAAATGTTTTCAACTTATTCATTCTATTGAAAGAGATTCTTGATGATCTACATTATTTTGAGTTTTGAATGCCCTCAACGTATCAGTGTTTTATCAAGTTCGTAAAAATATCTGGTATGTTTCATTCTCTCATGCCTCCCTATTATTACCGATCATTCATTTCCTTTAATCAGAAGTTCAAAATAATACGTTTCCTTACCAACGCACGTACGACCATTGGGGGCCAAATTCAGCTCCGGATCAGGGCATGAACAGACGAAGCTACCTTCTGTATTTTTGCATTTGTGTGAACATCCGCCATTGTCTTCGGCACACTCGTCCACATCTCAAAAAACAAGAAAACGTTGATTCAAATAATTTGATTATCAAGGGTAATGCTCTTTTTTTGCGCAGATAAAAAAATTAAAACTAGATTATCAAAATGGATATCACATAACAAAAAAAAACCTACGGAATATAACCTACTAGAATCCTAGACTATCAGTTTCTTTGACACATCTCAGGATTAATTTTATGAATCGCGTAAAATGCGAATAGTTTTGTGGCAGGCACGTATCAAGTTATACAAATGTCCAGCTCTAACGAGAAAACACGACGCGCGAGACGATGTTTCTTAACCCGCGTGACGCGCGGACTCATCGACAGAATCTATTGCAGCTAATTACAGTAACTTTTGAACAAATTAATTTAGCATTTCTTCGCCTTACCGTCCTCGCAATTAACTCCTGCGTAGCCAGGTAAGCAAGTACATTTATATCCAACAAGAGATTGAGGAGCGGGTCTGCAAGTTGCACCGTTCATGCAAGGGTTAGGGTCACACTTGGTAGGAGCTGAAATAGAAGTGCAATTCATGATCAGGGCATTGACACCTTACCAGAAAAAATACATTCAAGTAATTTGTTGATCCAAAGGGAATATATGTGCCACAAAAAAGTTACAACTAGATTATCATAATTTAACTGACAATAGACTATCAGCTTCTTCGATACATCTGTAATTGAATTTTACGAATGGCTTAATAAGGGAACCTTGAGCAAAGCTTGTTGCTAACAATGCAGTGGACATGAGTTATTTTAGAAAAAAAAAGTATCATATCAAACACACCAAGGCGTTTTCTGAGGCTGTGTTCACACTATATCGAATAGCTTTTGGGTTGGCATGCAATTCATACCGGATAGGTCTTCTGTTTACACGTAAAAAAATGATTTCGGAGCGATTTCTCTATCTAACAAATCGGATAGTTGTTCATACTTTATGGGATAGTGGTGTCGGCACGAGACGCCATCCCGTATTGTGTGTGCATTGTCTGACTAACCCGGATAACGCAAAAAATACCAATACTAAACTAACGTTTATCATCCATTGTAACTGGTTCCTTCTGGAGTTGACCCCATAAAGCATCTTCGTCGGCAATGATCAGGTTAAACACAAATGGAAATAAGAAAATGATCCACTTCTGCATGAACATGGTTCCGGAACAGTAACTAATTCAAAGACCTCTCCACTGTCGAAAAAGCAATGAAGGACCACTAACGTGCTCGACTGCCTTTTAAAGCTTTTCGGCATTCTGCATGTTAAAGAGTGAATTTTTTCAAAACAGGGGGGTGAAAATTACAAATTGTTAAATGAACAAAACAAATCAGTCCTGATTTTACAAATCATAAGATGGAATTTTTAAGCACAAAGACAAAACTACCCGCCCTTGACTTTGTATGCATGCAAATCTATTGGGATGGGAATTCGGCTTAAAAAAAGGTCACGGAAATTACAAGCTGTCAAGCTATAAACACCCCTAGATCTAATTCTTATTTCACAAAGATGTGACTGTGTAAATTCTTCAGTTTGAAAGGGATAAAAGATAGTAAAGAGTGGTCATTTTTTGTACTTAGCTAATGCAAAAGTATACTCAGTAATTTAGACCAATGTTTACGTTCATATTATACGTCACAACTTTTTTGTCAAAAGCAAAAAAAGTGAAATAAGCAGTCCCAAATAACATTTGAATTACATATTTTTCATTGAAAGAACAGTTGATAAACTAACAATACCCTCTAGGTAATGTGCTGATTAGTTATTTCGATTGCGTAATACTCATTTCACTGTTGACTAAATAAAAGCTGAAGAGACAAAGTCGATCATAACTTGGAACACAACTTGAATCATTTTTTGATGTAATGACACTTTTTGTCTTTAATTAAGAAAAAAATGAAATTAAGATGAAAACACTGCTCGAAATATTAAGAGTAGCTTTTTTTCTTCAGAGAAACAAACAGAACTCTTTTAGCCAATGAAAATCGGAAAGAAAAATACCATGGTTAAACGCATTGAAAGAACATATTTCAGAGGGACAAAGAAATAGGTATTAAGTTCGGCACATGTAAAGTTCGACGTTTAAACCGGTGGGCCTTAACCAATGAAAGTCGGCTGGGCCAGTAGAGGCGTTGGTATAATAAGTATACGATAATTATGTTCTAAGCGAGCCTATATTACATCATCCTCTTTGTGATTAGTGAAACATAATCAAATTAATTCGAAATTATGAGGGTTAAACTTGCCAAAATAAAGCGCTAAACACCTTATAGGCCAATGAAAAATCTGAACACTCAGCTTAAAGGTCATTCAATCAAGCAGCACTATAATAGTACAAAGCAGCTTCGCACAGGCGTCTGTTCTTGTTGAACTTGAGGAGACGACGTGAACTCGTCAATCTGCGGATTTAGGATGAACCTTCTGGTCGTGCTAGTACTTGTACCATGTTTTTGCTTGACTATCGATGGGAAAGGCTTTTTAGCCGGAGAGGACCCCGTAAACAACAATGATGATCGTAACTTCTTGAACTTCTATGACGAAGAGCCAAAGAGTTTTGTGAACGGAATCGAGGATTTCTTTCCCCAACGATATATTGACGACCAGTTCAGTGGGGAATCGTCTGGAAGTAAGATGGTTTAATTTAATTTTTTTTTAATTCAGCCATTTTTTCTAGCCTACAATATATTTATCCGATATTCGGTAAATTGGTTGGAAATTCGTCACCACAATCATTTGACAATTTCTCCTTCTACGCCGAGTTAGTTCCTCTGGAAAAAAGCTTTGTTCAGAGATCAAATTGACCTGGAATATCAGCGAACGTGTTGACTAACAAGCTGCAATGAAGATAAAATAGTACGTAAGAGCTGGAATAAGAGTTAACATTGACCATCTTAAAACCCAAAACGATGACTTAGTAAACTGTAAGAAATGTTCGCCTTTGTTGCGCACACTTACCATAGGTGATTTTGTTCCGGCGCAATTTTTGGCTTTCTCAAATCTGCATCCACGTTAACATTTGTTTCGCTACCTGAAGACAGAGATCCGTGTTGAAAAAGGTTCATGTGAGCTTTACTTCAGTTTATAGAAGGTTATGTTTCTCATAGCCTTTACCTTCTTTTATTTGTGTTTGACGACAGAATTCTCAGTATTTGTACATTTGCATTCGCTGTAGCATTTGTACATGGTCGTAGACCACTAGGGGTCGTCCCTTTTTTCCTCAAGACCACGCGCAAGGAGCTTCGCCGCTCGCCGCTCACACGTGCGCTCCAAGTATTCTGTCTCAAAAGACAAATTAGAGACGGCTCGCGATCTAACATTGAGTGTTGCTAATATGAATTTATATCTACACTGATCAACAGCAACTAATGCTTTTAAACAGACAAATTAATTTATTTTAAATTAATGTTTGTGTTTTGTTTCAGTTCAGAGTCCCTGTACTGAGAACCCCTGCCTAAATGATGGTAACTGCTCAGTGATCGCTAGTGGAGATTATTCTTGTGCATGCCCGGGCGGATATTATGGAAAGAACTGTGAAACAGGTACTTTTAGAAAGCATTTCAACACTATCGATTGATTTCTAAGAGCGCCGGCTGAATTGTAAGGAAAAAAATAAAGCAAAGGGAAGAATGTGATCATGCCCCACAAAAAGGGGCTGCTGTGATGAGTTTCAAATGAGATGTTTTAAAGACTTAAAAATCAAAGTTCTATTCTTATATCACTCGATACACTAAGGTTCACTGGAAGTTCAAACGCCAAACGTTTCGTGTACCGAACTTAATACCTATTCGGACGACCTAAATGTTGTAGAGGCTGCGGTGGACTTGGGCATCGAAGTTGATTAGTCGTACTCTATTACGATTTTCTCAATGTACAATGGCAAGTGTTGAACCATTGCCACGCTTACCAGTCAAAATAGATTACTGGTTCATTTGATAGGGGGACATGGAAAGTTTGAACGTTTCAACTGGGCCTACGGCAAACTATAAAAGTGATTGTTAAGAAAAAGAAACATGACGCGTGTTTAAGAGTGGACCTACTTAATTTCTTCCCGTCAAGTAATTGTACGCCTTTTTGTTATTTTCCATAGCAAACTTGTGTTACAAGAACCCTTGTAAAAACGGAGGCAAATGCAAGTCTCGTGCTGGCCGCAGCTACTATTGTAAATGTGCACAAGGATTTCAAGGAAAAAACTGTGAGGAAGGTAATAAAACTACACTCACCTAAAATAAAATAACGGATAGTTACATGTATTAAGATGGTCTAAGATCATATACTTTCCCAAAGTTTGTTCACTAAATGTTTTTAGGATCTTGGTGTAGTTAATTTCGCCGTTGTCAGTAAAAAAATACGAATTCTTCATAGGAAAAGATAGTTTCTTCGAGGGATTCCAAGACATTTTCAGCAATTCGCAAACAGTTAGTTTATGGCAATATCGGCATTTAAAATGCAGTGGTTCTGTGTGGCTGATAAACAATGAATTTTGTACAGTTCTAATATTTTAAACAGAATTTTGCAAAAACTCAAATATCAAACTCTGGCCGGGTTGTTCAAAGCTGGGTTAAGATAACCCATGGTTAGTGCGAAAATTGAACTCAGATATAAAAGGTAAAAAATCAAATTCAGTTTAATTCTCTTCCTCTATGATTTGCTAATGGTATAAGCTTAAAAGAATCAGAAAAATTTATTCGAGGAAATGCTATTGAGCAGAAGGAAAACTGAGGAACCCGTATTAAAACTCTTTCCACGGGATAGTGCTAATCGGCCTTTGAACAACTGGGTCCACACTTTTTGATGTAGCTAAATTTACACTGATCAGTAAATGTCTACAAGGCAATAAATTAAGATACCTGTAAAGGATAAGCGTTTTCCATCCTTAGGCCGCTCAATTTAAAGCCGTATTAGTTGTCCGGGAAAAAAGTCGCAGATTTTCGCAAATATTCCATCAATCGCTCGGCCCAGGGGCCTATTTCTCGAAAGTCGATAACTTTTCGGGCCCGGAAAGCTGTTTAATGTTTGCTGTGTTTACATTCAGGATCAAAGTTGTCATAGTAACACATTCAATGGTATTCAATCTTCACGAACAGCTTTCAAATAAAAATGTTCTAATTTTGTATACAAAACACCTTTTTTATGGACATAAACGAGTGTTCTAGTGATGTTTGTGGTGAAAATGCCAACTGCGAAAATACAGTGGGTTCTTACATTTGTATGTGCAAATCTGGATACGCCAGGAGAAATTTGACGGGTTGTTCCGGTAAGAACATTCATTATTGCATCAAATTACCTTTTTTCCTTTAGATTCTAGTTTTTAACTTATTATTTCTTCCAGCTGAATATTTTAAGATGGTCAGAATTTTGAATTTCCTGAAACACTGGAGGTCTTCTACGACCAGACTCAAAATAAATCTTGTTATTTTTATTTTGATAAATTTAACTATCTTCGCTGGGAATTGAATTCACTTTCCTACTATTCTACACTATCAAAGAGAAAAAAATTCTTCAAGATACTTAGAAAGCAGTTCTTCGAGGAAAAACAGATAGTTTATTTTAGAAAAATAACCTTACAATATCCTCTTCTTAGATATCAACGAGTGTGCTATCGGCGCTGATGCTTGTGACGTTAATGCCAAGTGTAAAAATACTGTGGGATCTTACACTTGTACTTGCAAAAAGGGTTTTACTGGAAATGGAGAAACATGTACTGGTAAGATTTACTTGACATACTGGTTTCTTCGTTCCTTTTCAGATGTTCTTTAGTTTCCAAGAACATCCATGACATTAAATGTTGTTCTCAAATAATCAGAGCAGGGTGATACATTACATTAACAGGCTTAAAATGTTATAACATCGTATTTAACTGCTTTAGGATGCTTTAAAAGTAAACGATCTAATAAACTGAAAAAATCTCGTGATACTCTGTTTTAGATATCAACGAATGTTCTACCGGCGCTGATGCATGTGACGTTAATGCCAAGTGTAAAAATACTGTTGGATCTTACACTTGTAGCTGCAAAAAGGGATTTACAGGAAATGGAAAAACATGCACTGGTAAGATTTACTTGTAACTGACTGACCAACTCTTCCCAAATTAAAACAATCGCCTTCTTTTTCAAGTAGCGAAATAGTAAATGATATTGCTTAGAAGTTTTACTAGTTTTAACCGTTTTACCCTGCAGTAATGTCCCTTTAAGATAATTGAAATATTACTGAGAAAAATACGATCTATTTTAAATTAAATTGAAACTTAGAAGTAATCGTAAGTAGGGTACACTTGAGGCTAAACTAATTTTTGGTTGCATATACACAGAAATATTCGCAGAGTTGGTTAGATAATTTCCCAAAAGAAAAATTTATATTGGAAGATGTCTTATAACCTTGAGCGAACCTTAAACTGTGTTCTGATTTCTCGAGATATTGAGAATATTAATGAAAAGCAAATTTGTATAAATGTCACCAATAACGCGAACTGTCTCACGCAAACATCTGAAATCAAGATGAATCATTGTTGCATGAAATGGACTGTTTGCATAGCAGGGGCGAAATATTAAACCTCAACAAACAGTCAAGAACTCTCTTTCTATTTCTCGCTCACTCCGGTCCGATTATCCATTTATGGCAGAAAGAAAGATAACCTTAATGTACGAGAGCCTTTTTTGTTAGTACGCCTGAACATAGCCTGTTTACGAATTTCGAAATGGCACAGAAAAGGCAGACAAACGACGAAAAACGCAGACTTGTTACTGCTCTCCCCCTTAGTACCACAGGATACCCAAGAACCGAAGAATACCCAAGATTAGGAGTTCCGTTCTCCTAACGTCAAACGCAAAAATCTTGTAATATTCTCTTCTTAGATATCAACGAATGTTCTACGGGCGCTGATGCGTGTGACGCTGATGCCAAATGCAAAAATACTGTTGGATCTTTCATATGTACCTGCAAAAAGGGTTTTTCAGGGAAAGGAAAAACATGCACTGGTAAGATTTACCAGACTTAGTGACTAGCTCTTCCAAAACAAAGCCGTTCTTCCTCTTTTCCAGTTCGGTTCTATTCAGATAGCACAATATTAAATAATATTCCAAATTAATATTACTTCTGCATAGTTTCAACTGTTTAACCCTAGAGTAAAGTGGCTTTAGAATAACTAAAAGATTTTTCCAAGTAAATAACGATCCACTAAAACTGAGATAATCTTGTGATACCCTGTTTTTAGATATCAACGAATGCTCTACCGGCGCTGATGCTTGTGACGTTAATGCCAAGTGCAAAAATACTGTTGGATCTTACACTTGTACCTGCAAAAAGGGATTCACGGGAAAAGGAAAAACATGCACTGGTAAAATTGGATTATATTACTGACTTCGGCTTCTTTCTTTAAAAAAAAAACATCATCTTCATATTTAGACCTTCGTTTGATTTCAATAACATTGCGTTAGAAGGTATCATTAATTTCTGTCAGATGATTCGAAAAATTTTCTTTTCCCAGATATCAACGAATGTTCTACCGGTGCTGATGATTGTGACGTTAATGCCAAGTGCAAAAATAATGTTGGATCTTACACTTGTACCTGCAAAAAGGGTTTCACAGGAAATGGAAAAACATGCACTGGTAAGAATTACTTGACTAACTGCCTACCTCTTCCAAAAATAAAAACTTTGTTTTGCCTTTCAATAACAGTTTTACCTGTTTAACATTGAAGTAAACGGGAGTTTTTTAGTTACTTTAAAGTATTTGAAGAAAATATAAACGATACAAAAGAAATAATCTCATGATATTCTGTTCTTAGACATCAACGAATGTTCTACCGGCGCTGATGCCTGTGACGTTAATGCCAAATGTAAAAATACTGTTGGATCTCACACTTGTATCTGCAAAAAGGGTTTTACAGGGAATGGAAAGACATGCACTGGTAAGATTTACTCGACGTCCTTAAATTACAGACTTCTCCTCTCCAAAGAAAAAGGCTTCGTCTTCATTTTCGACTTTCCTTGTTAAATTTGATCCATTAGCTCAGTGGTAAAATGATTCAAGAAATAGCACAGTCTCGCATTACAATGATAGCCTTTAAAAATGAATGGCAAGCACAGTGGCTTGCTAATTCAAGTGACTTGCAAAAAACCCAGGAGGTGAACATAATGGCCATCGACACCTCTGCCAAACCCAGTCACTCTGATTATCAAATAAACTCTGGTCAAAGAGAGAAGACATGAAAATTTAATTTGCAGGCAAATGTTTTGTGTAACTGTTAATATAATAATGTACTAAACTGGAGATGAGACTAAAACTGATCTTGTGATATTCTGTTCTTAGAAATCAACGAATGTTCTGTCGGCGCTGATAACTGTGACGTTAATGCCAAGTGCAAAAATACTGTTGGATCTTACACTTGTATCTGCAAAAAGGGTTTTTCAGGAAATGGATATAAATGCAAAGGTAAGATTTATTTATTTGTTACTGTGTTCTTCCCCTGAAAGGAAAGCGTCATCTTCATATTCAGACCTTTGTTTGTTTCCAACAACATGACATTAAAACGAGTGCAATGTCCAATTGTTTCTCAAGTCCAAAACTTTGGGTTTAATAATAGTTTAAAATCTCTCCTTTACCAACTCCCACCACTATCTTGGCTCGTTCTGCCAATCGGCTCTTCCTTTTCTAGCCTCATTTTCAGTGCCTGAAAATCTTGCGTTAGAGTGTCAAGTTTGCTCTTGAAGCTATCGGTTCCCTTTTCCAATAATTGGATAGTAATTTTTGTCATTATTCAGAGACATTTGATTCGAAGTTTTGGCAGTTCGCAAAAAAAATAATGCCTGTTTACTGAGGCACGCGTTTCCCTACTCAGTCCTCTTGCCCACTAACTTTAAAAAAAAACATCTAAATAAATTCATAAATTTTAAATATTTCTGTTTAGATATCGATGAATGTGCTGTACAGAATGGTGGATGCTCTCACGACTGTGAAAATACACCCGGCAGTTACGAGTGCGAATGCCCAGACGCAGAGCTCTCATTGGCTGAAGACAACCATACTTGTGAAGGTAAACACTGAACATACCTTTCGCTGATATACAGTACATCCAATCCAATATCAACAGCTTGTAGCTCATTGAATGGTTGTTACTTCAGTTAAAAAAATTCTTGATAGGAAATTACGAAAATGCAAGAACTGATTTAATTATCGAAAAGGGTAGAAGATGACTTAAGTGCTACCCGGGGCCTTTCCTGTCTTCTCCGGCTGCTAATAAGCGTGTAAATGTAAAATTTCCTGCAAATCGTCCACCATATAACCTACTTGTAGACGGGGGATCAACCCAGACCGGGGTGATCAACTCCTATTAAATGGTTTAAACATTTATTCCTCAGCAAAAGGTGTCCTCGTCCGTTGCCTTCAAAACAAGATGTCCATCACTATCCCCAAGCCCCTCCTCAAAGGAATGGACCGAGAGCATATTCGTCTCCTGGACCCAAAATGCGGAGCAACCGAGAATGCCACACATTTTACTCTGACAACAGCACTGACGAAATGCAACACAACACGAAGACACACCAAGTCTTCTATTGTATATAGCAACACTGTGCTAGAGATTCCGCTGAAAAATAATGACATCATTACCCGTGTCAGGGAAATTGAGATTCCATTCAGTTGTTACTATTCTAATAAAAGAACAGCCACAGCCGTTGGAATGAGGCCCGAAAACCGAAAGCTGGTTTTCTCGGAGAAAGGAGAAGGAAATTTCACCATTGTACTTGAATTATTCCACAACAAAAGGTTTGAAGTTTATAGCAATTTAAATATATACATTTTCAGAAAGACGAAACTGCATTCAAACTAACTGCTTTATCAAACCGTTATATTTCGAAATGCGATTTCTCCACATATCCTACGGCTTTGAATAAGTGTATTGTAAAAAGTAGGTTACTCGACATCTTTCAGGCCAAAACTTGCTTCTAATTGAGTTTTCTCAGAAATGCGATCAAGATAGGACAGAATATTCATATTTTTTTCAAAGCCAGGAAGCTGATATCTCGTGCATGACACAAAAACTGAACATACTACTTTGATTTCGACAACGGCAAGACTTAACCATTTTGTTTCGTGTGATTGCAGATTCGTCAAATCATATAGTGCAAGTGACTACCCATTGTCCTTTAAACTCCGACAATTGATGTTCTTCCAAGCCAAAGTTCAGAGCAAAGACAAGAGGCTGTCGATCTTGGCTAAAAAATGTTTTGCCACACCAACACCTGATCAGAAAAACCCGAAGAAGCATTTCATAATGGATAATGGGTAAGGAAAGATCTTTTTTGTCCTCGCTGTCTTTGTTTTTTAATAAAAACGTGTTACAGACAATTAACTCATTTCGCATAACAAATGAGGCTAGATACACCAAGAACCCGGATACAAATATAGGCCCCCAATCCGGTAAGCAAAAACCTTCCCCGCCTGGAAAATTGCCCTCAAATACAAATAAAACAAAGCAAAAATGTTATATTCCAACTACCTGCCAAATCGATTTTGAAACGCAAATTTCCTTCCGTAGAAAAGCCCCTCCGAATATAAGCCCCTCAAAAAGGGCCTTTGAAAAATATAAGCCCCGGGGCCTATTTTCGGAATTTTACGGTAACCGTGTTTTTTAACAACCTGTTCGCCTAAAATTTGTCAGTTAACTCTTATCATACTCAAACCACTCTCGTGCGTGAAAAAAATCCTTTTGCGCTGTCTAAGCATCTCAAAATATTCCGTAATGTGATATTTAAATAGCGTAACTGAATCGAAGCCAATGTTCACATGAACACTACTTTTTTGCCAGATGTCCAGTTGATGATACCTTGGAACTCTATTCTTCACCTACGGGCACCTTTCGATTTGGTTTGGAAGCCTTTGAATTTGTGGATCAGCCATTTGTCTTTGTCCATTGTCACGTGATCGTCTGTAACGCGACTGATCGGCAATCCAGATGTGCACGAGGATGTGAAAAGAAACCTCGGCTCAGACGTGAAGTCCAACATCACGAGATATATTCCCTGGCTCAAGGACCAATCACACTAGATCGCAATAAGGAATACAAGGAACCAGACAATAATCTCGCCATTGACAGCAAAGTCGATACTGCAGGTATTATACGCTCGAAATATTTTTCATGAAAGTCATCTTCCTCTTAACAGACAGTCCAGACACTTGCAGTTGATCCCTGCCATTCAGTCATGTGCCTTAAAAGCGGACAATTACACTGTACTATGTTTTTCAATAGAACTGCCCAACAAACAGCACGTATTTACGATCACTTCCTGTTTTGAATAACTGATCCATTGAACAGCCCACAATATAAATGATTTTGCTGTTAAACTAGAAAGACACGGATTTTAAAACCCTTTCCATTGATTATTTTTTCTTTTCCTGTCTTATTTCCTTTTCTTTAGCTGGAGACAATCTTCCACTGCTTGCAGCCATGGCCGCCATGACAGCTTTGACCATGTTTGGAGTCGCATTTATGGCTTTCAAGAAAAGATGACGTGTTGGCAACTTATATTTTGCTCAACAACTAAGATCCCTAGCTGTTAAATCACGGATCTGAATAAATGCAATGTCATGAACGTAACATACACTGTGTCTCTTGTCTTGTGGAAAATTTTCTTCTGGGGTATTAAGAGGGCCGGTTACGCTATGATCTCAGCATTGGAAGACGAAAATTGTGGAACAATAAATTATAACAAATAAATAAATGTTTTTGTCCGACAAAAGTCAGGCGTGGATCTATACCAGTTTCAACCGTTTTACGAAAATCGGTCAGATTTTTTATAATTAAATGTATTTTTTAATGAAAAACAATTCCAAGTTAAAATCTGGCCAATATCCTGACTGAATGACACAGAAACCCAGAAAAGGTTTCTTTAGGGAGAAAAAATCCAAACAAATTCACTGGGATGCATGCCCCCGCACCCCACTAAAGCTTGCACTCTCTGCGCTCGTTTAGAACATCGGTCAGTATTTACTCTAGATCCTTGCCTGAAAGTATCTTCCTACTTTTTTCAAGGAGTGAACTTTACGTTTTCTCATACGCTTAAGTCGATTAGGACATAGTCTTCTCGTATGCTCTTAGGCACATTAGAGTATTGGGAATTTCAAATTATTACCTTAGTTCTCAATTTATTATTTGTCTACATCAGTTTACAGCGCTTTATGCTTTGTACTGTAATGCGGCACATTTCTACGATAAACTGTGTGGACATGTGCTTCTTCCTCCTTCCTCTTTAAATACGCTAACCCTTTCTACTGTCAACAGGTTTTTTCTCCTCGCTGTCTTCATTCATTTCTTATGGTATTGACGAGGAGACTTTGCTTAACAATCAATACCCTTTCTCTAATACAATTCGTCGCTCATTGGCTCCTTTCACTGCATCCAACTACAATAAGTTTTATCTTACAAGTCCCATAACTTGAATAAAATATGAACTATGAAAATGTTTAACTTCCGTTCTGTCAACAGCACTCGATATAATGCATAGGTCGCGGAGTTTTTCAGTAGTTATAGCAACTACCTGATCTACAACATCTGCTCACGGTTGATCGTTTCAGAGCATTTTACCTTAAGTATCACGAAGAGCAAGAAAGTAGACTTTATCGTTGGCGAGTTCAACAGGTCTTTCACAGAGCCTTTATAGTGGTAATTACCCGTTTCCCTTTGCAGTTAGCCTTTATGCTTTTAAATGTTGCTTAACCATATTCATGTTTTGTATTAGAAATAACCCCAATCAGTGAGTCATTAGTGTCGAGAAAGTTTACACTGGCTATCTTAGTACTGCTGAATTGAACCAATCTACTAACCAGGGAACAATCCTTTTCAGATATTGCAGTTCCTGACGTTAGGTAGATATCAGTATGGCGGTAATTACTTGAGAGTGTAGGAAATTCATTTTTGTTGCTCATCCTAGGCAAATTAATTAACGCAGAGGAATTTGTATTTTTCCTATCTTCCTTTCTCTACGATTTGATAGAAAATGCCAATTTCTACTACTTTCTTCGACATTGATTGTTTCAAAAGACCTGATACGTGATTGGAAGCACTCCTTCCAAGCGCTCGATGTCCTTAACATTAATAGCTTGTGTGGCAGGAGTTTAAAGGGCAAAGGAACAAGGGAAACACGACGTGCGAGAACATGAAAGACGCTCTTCGGGAACTCGCTCTCCTTAAAGGGCTATCACCTCGCCTTACCTATCCTCGTCGTGCCTCGTGGCACATAAGGCCTTCACAGAGTCCCTCCACGCATCTCGGTTAGCCGCAACGGTCTTCACTTCCTCCCACGATCGCCATCCCTCTTCTGCCCTTTCCTTTTCAACCGTTCGCCTCCAGGTGGTGTTTGGTCTTTCTCTTCATCTTTTTCCTTCTGGTGCCTAAGTCACTGCTATGTTACAGTCGCCGTTTTGGTCCTGTCTTTATGTCCAATCATCTTCCATCTACGCTGCTTCTACTCACCTCTTTACTGATAGTTTTCATGTTTCTATGTGATATGTTACTAGAATATTACTCTCTTAGGTTAATTCTGTGCTGAAGACATTACTTTTTGCCTAAGTAGAGTTATTAAGACATCAGACAAATTTCATCGGGAAGCACCAACCATAATATTTTTCTTCGGTCATGCTTGCAAGCATAGTATTAAAACTCGATAAAGGAAGTCCATTTATTTTCACGTCTTCAATTCTTAATCCATGTCTATCCTTGTCGTCAGAAGCAACAGACGAAAAGAAAGAGTTTCAATGCCTAAAATAGTGCAATACTAAGTAAAAATACTGGATCATTAATTTTGAAATAGAGTTGATGCGAAGACAAGTTAAAACGTTTTAAAAAGATAGTTAATAGCGTGACACAGGCCATTTAATTACCACTTTCCTTTCCACCTCAAACGTTTTCAAAGCAGGCTGATACATTCACAAAAAACCCCAGTTATCACTGCAAAATTGACCTGACAAAGGTATGGTGATGAGCCTCTTGGTGAGTATCCAATGGATGAAACGCCCGTCCCTCAAAATACACGGTTCTTGGGGTTTAATGTTTTCTTGTTTAAATTTTAAAAATCCGGCTAGATTCCATTTTTTTACTTTATCGTTTTCCCAGCTGTTTTTCTATGAAATATGAATGTTTAAGACGGAATTTCAATATTCAATGGACAAAAACCTTGTACCAGAATAATTTAAACAATATTGCATTCTTTTTTACATTTTTCAAGGGCAATAGATAAAGTTATCTGGTGACTGTAATAACACCAAGTCACGTGAGCCCCAGAAAATAAATGTCAAATTTCACAACAATTGTGAAAACACAAGTAAAATTCTGAAAATTTCATGTGTGAGATGTCATTTTGTGAAATTTGACATTTATTTTCTCGGGCTCTCGTAAGAAATTTTTTTTGGTGTTATTATACAGATATCTAATTACATCTATAGCTCTTAAAAAATGTTAAAAAGTCTGCGATATTGTTCAAATTATTCTGTTACAAGGTTTTTGTCCACTGAAAATTTAAGTTACTCAATTTCCTGATGGATTCCGTCTTAATTTTTAAAATGTTTGTCCCCCAATCGCATGTAATCGTGAACAACAGACAACACCCGTGCAATTGCTGGACCAATTACTTTTTATTTCATGAGCAGAATTTTTGATACATTTTCTCTTATTTCAGTGACATATGAAAGACACCATATTTCTCTATTATCTATGACGACAGAGAAACTTTGATAAGTTATAAAACAAGATCCATTAAAAAATCAATTTATTTAACAAGCTCAAGAAATTATTCGGGAAAAAAAGAGCTTTGTCACGTTCTATAAATTGTAATTTAGGCGGAAATCCTACTGATTATTTTTTGTCAAAAAATGTTCTTTCCTCGATATGATAGTCCCATTTTACTACTATTTTTATTCATAATGTATAAAACTCAAATGAGGTGAATTTCATCAACGGATAGAAGAATTCCCGCAATGCCACACAGTTGTTCCTTGAAAGACTCAATTTCAATAACAATCTTTTAGTACTCCTTATCAGCTTCAAATTGAATGGTGACACACGTTAGAATTTCATCCACAGACAGTTTTATGGTAAGGAATACTTTGTATACAATAGAAACAGTGTCCCAAGAGAAAGCTCCTCAGTAGCTGGTTCACTTCAATTGTCCCACTTGAGACCTAAGCACATGGAGGTACAGCTCAGTATATTCCATAGTCATATTTCAAACACAGACTCCGGAGCTTGTAACACCTCAAAAAGCATCAGAAATGCTATCATATAAACGTAATTTAAACCAACAGTGGCACTAGAGTGACGTCTTAGTAGTATTTATATGATTGATCGAGCTTCTTTTTATCTAGCGGGGGGGGGTAAAATATTGAAACCTGACTACATGATTAGGGCTTTCACCCAAGGAGCGAGGGTTGATTGTTAAGGGAAAAATCAATTAACCATCTCCTTACTAAGTTTCAGTGTTGCTACCAGTTATGAGCATCCAAGACTTCTTCACTACATTGACTGTTCTTCTGTTTATAGGTAAGTCATAATATACCCTATCAACAGTTTTGAAACTGTTCACAAAAGTGTTCTATCTGCCTCCTTTTGCCACGAGCACAGCAAACCGATGAACACCACGCTAACATTTCTACATACCTCACCTCCCTTTTTTATTTTCCGGTTGAGCCTAACTGCTTCAATTGCTTCAATAACATATATTTCATTGCCAGGTTCAAATACGAGGAAGTCTAGCTACAGGGGCACCCAACGACCTTTTTCTGTAAAATAATTGTTCGAAGGAGCAATTATTGGCTAGAAAATTCTACAGCTCGAGAAAGGCTTAAAATTTCTGGATGACCGTTCCATTCGCCTAAGACATTTCGAGTTTTTGTACTTTCAGTTTGTTACCTACAATTTTCGAAGGTTTTGTTCTTCACATTTTATTACGACCAAGACATTGGGAAAATTGCAAAGAAAACGTCTCCTGAAAATTTCAGTATTCAGACAAAGCACCCCTAGAATTTTCTAATGATAGTATGGCTACTTCATTTCCTCGAACTTTCAATCAAACTCATCAGGATAGCTGACAGTTTCGGATGAGACGAGAAAGCCACCTAAAACTTTCGAAATGGCCAACGTTCCCCTAAGACATTCGAACAGGTAAATAGTTTTCCTCCAAAGCACAAAGAGAACCATTTGAGACACTTCTGACGTATTTAGAAACATTCGTTCGTTGGGTTCCCCTGAAGCTAACACTGAAAGAACATTGCCAATACGTTTCCATCGTTGGTTAAAAAACATTCTAATTGCACTCAATAGACCAGACGATTTCTCAGTAATCGACTTAATGCTCTGAAACCGAGGGATCACATAAACTTTTTATCCTCGAGTACAAGATCGCACAAGAACTTACCTACGTGGCAATTCCATAGTCTCTCGAACTCAAGGATCCTTTGTTCTGCCCCGTTGTGCCAAGATGAATGATTTATTGTCTTTTTTTTTTCCTTGCAGTTGAAGGGAAATCACAAGGTGAGTCACCTTTAAGAGTCTTAAGTAGCAGTTTTTCTTTCTTAATGTGACATGGCCTCTTGTTGTTGGAGCTTTTAACATTTTTTTCCCTCTTATTGGTAGTACGTCAGTTAGAACAACACTCTTGGATTGAATTGAGTGCACGGAGATAAAAGTCATAGAGGATAGAATTCAGTTAGATATCAAACTTCTGATATTCCGACAGATTTCCACGGCACCACATACCGTCTGTCCGTGTTAAGTGTAAATAGACTTAATACTGAAATAAACTTAGCTAGATAGAGAGTCATTGCAGACCTGCTCACACGGACATATTAATACGGACCAATCAAAGAGTGCCACTTTTTCTGGGTTGCGATTGGTTCTGTACACTCGGGCACAGAGCAATTCTCAACGAAGCAAAATGGACCAACCAGAGAGCCGCTCTGGAACGTTGCTGGTCATCTGAGTCACAGAAAATGACCGAAAAATAAAGGGACCAACTGTAGCTGTCCATTTTAGGACGGCGTCTATCTTACAGCTTGAAGTATCTCGAGAGGGAGTCCTCTTTACACTACAAATTGACAGATTTTTAAGTGTGCTGAAAGTACTATAAAAATTATCAGTAGAGGTTGAATTTTACCGGCTTTCTTTGACTTTTGTCAATACCAAAAGGAAATTCGCAGTGAGCAGCTAGAGATGTTTTAGGTACATTCAGCTCTGTCTATTGACTCATTAACTCTCTTTAGAATCAAAGAAAACCTAGAGTGATCGTTCACCTTTTCAAAAAAATTAGTTTCCCTTTCTATATCTGAACTATGAGTGCATACCTTTGGCGTTCAAAAGTAAAGATGAAAATAGACTGTAATATAAAGTCAAACATCGTCAAATTACCAAAAACGAATCTTTTTTTTTAGAGTTCGTAGTATCGGAAAAGATAACTGGGTATACTTAGTTATAATTTTAGCTCGGTCCTGGGCTGGTGAGACATCCTTCCTCTCCCTGAGAGGAAGCGATGAGCTGTTCAAACAAAATCGTAAAATTACCTTGAAGGTGTAAGTTAGCATAGACACACTTTTACCTTTCTTTGTTATGCAGCAATCGATGGTGGTTACTCTTCGTGGAGCGAGTTTTCTGAGTGCAATTCAACTTGTGGCAATGGAGTGAAGACACGTGCGCGACTGTGTAACAATCCTGAACCGAGCAGCGGTGGCAAAGCTTGCACTGGCCTGGGACCAGCAGTGGAATATCAAGCATGCAACTCGTTTCCATGTCGTATGTTCAACTCATCATAAGTTGCTGGGAAAGTGCCCACCTACCCCACCCCTAAGCCAATATTTTGCCCTAAGTGGGAAGTAAGTGTTAATGTTGGCTAAGAGGAGGGTAGGCGGGCACTTCACCAGAAAGGTGTAATGATCCCAACTATTTATTCATGATCAAATTTCATTGTAGGCCTGTTTCATACGTCGTGCTTCCACCGTTCTAAGCAGGCTCGACTTCACCACAATTCTAGCGCGATTCTAGCACGACTTGGTTTCAGACGTCGAATCTAATTCAGTCGAATAAAATAGCTGCTGCGGAAATCAAAACTTAAGAATGAAAAGCAGTTTATTGAACTTTCAAAAGGTTTTAAAATGTATTCTAATGTATTTGAAATTTATGAATTAAGGTCGGTACAGCAGTAGTACAACGTTTGAAACAGGTCTTACTATTAATGGACCATTGCGAAAAATGCCATGAGTTTCCAAATATTGCCAACTTTGACACTCTCTAAAATCAAATTGTGCCAAAATAAAAATCGATAAATTTAGTACTACGCGAGGTAAGTTGCCCTAACTCACGTACTTTCTGGAAAAAGAAATTGTTTTTTTTAAACTGGTTTAAACTGTATGTTTAAACATATTTCCTAAATTCGTTGTCTTTTGTATAATCATCGGCTTCCAGACCTTAAATGAAAAAGTACAGTACCAGGGCAAGTGATCAGTCTACGGGGGGTGGATCAGAGTTGATCGTTTATGCACCCTATAGGTGATAGGGGGAATAGATTTGTTGAGGTTGGATGCCAGTTCTTCAATATTTTTTAACTATCCAACCCTTTTAAACCCTATTTAAAAATAAGTTAAACGCGAGGATTTTAGTACCATGACGTTGGTATTGCCAAGTGGGGCAGGCCGTTAAACGTCCTACTGAGGCTATTGTTCACCTTGAAAAAGCTCTAACAAGTCTTGAACATTGATTAAAAACTACCAGTTTGAAATTATTCTTGTTGTAACATCTGTACTTAAGAATGATTTGAGTCCTTTATAACGTTTTTATTAAATAATCTATCACGGCTTTTGAAAATTTTCGTTTAAGTCGAATTCAAACACACAGAATATTTTACTTCTTATGGAGATTGTTTGCTAAACACCAAACTTTAAGTTCCTAGTGTTGGATTTGCAGTAGCTGGTCTAGATCACGCAAAATTCGGCTTTTATTAATTTCAAAGTTTTTTGTTTATTGTTGTCATAGAAATCTCGATTTAAGTTAGAACTACAGTTTCACAAATTTCAATCCATAGCCAATTACTGGTAAAAATTTTGTAGCGAACCGACAAGGAAAAAACACTTTTAAGGCGATTGAAAAATATCGGTATGGCCTCTGAAAAACTCTATCAAAACACCTTAAATGCCCAACTCAAAAGGATGTAATGGTTTTACTGGAGGTGAATTTACGACATTTTATGATCAGCGTGGTCAAGAGTTTGTTTTTTAAGATTAGGCTTTATTTTGACACATGTTGGGTAAGTTTTTGGCACGGTGATCGGAAAATTATAGATTAACATGAGCATACCCCCGCTATTGGTGCATAATAACCGGGATCACATGGGGCACAGTAGTTATTATAGTCTTCTCGTATGAAGGTACAGCACAGTGTTGGTCATCATGCCCTACAGGGATGCGGATAAAGTGGTTTCCAACGTGAGAAAGTGGAAACGAGCCAATCCCGACAAAGTGCGGGAACAGAAATGGCGCGCGCGGGCTCGAAAGCAGCCCCACATCGCCACGTTATACCACCTAGATAAGTCCTCCCCTATCGTTCAGCAGCTTATCCAGGAGTACGTTGCTGCTTCTCGAGTTCGTTGGGAGACCAATCAGATGCATCAGATAATCGCCCCTCCAACCCGAAGGAAGCTACGTCCTAAGCAAAACCCCAGCCTCAAGTCGCTGAAGCCGCTTGGTCTACTCACGTCTCCTAAATCCAAGTCACCCATGCACAATAACTCAGACGAAAATGAGGAAGACCCCTACATTTACCGCCGCCTTGAAATTCGCAGGGAGGGACAACGGCGCGCGACAGAGCGCATGAAGGCGCGAATGGACGTCGAACGGTCGCTGGAAGAAATGACTGTGCAGATAGATCCTTGTAGAACTTTAAACCGCTTTTCAGCGCAATCAGAACGCGAAGTAAATGTTGATACAACCGCTACTCCTCCGTTCGTTTCCCCAGAGGACTGGGATACAATGGAAGCGATCTGGTTTCCTTTGGACGAGGACATCTCTCTGACGTCGATCATAAGAGCATCCCTTGATTTGAAAGAGATTAACCCATATGACATTTTTTCGTCAGAACAGTGGGACGAAATGTTAACCAAAAACGAATGGTGACCTGTTAGTCACGTTACGTTTTAGTGTTTCAATCGAATTTTAGCTGCACTGACATTTCGACCGTAAATCAGCTTGTTGCCGGTCGGAGAAGAGAGAGATTTCATTCTGTCGACGAGTCGAGGTTAATGGAGTTCGGTTTCACAAAATGTATCAAAAGGCGAACAGTGAGAACCTCCACCTCACTAATTGAAACATAAATATAACTCCTCAGAACAGGAAAAGAAGTCATAAGTAACAAAGCAAATACAAAATGAGTAACAGATCGACACGGTATGGATTATAACTTTGCTTTTTGAAATATTTTTAGCGTAACAGTTTCTCAAAGTTCATTTTAGTACGTTTTCTATGTTTGATATGTTTCGACGGAGAATAGAAACAGTGAAGGTTAGGCTTGGGTTTCACTAGAAATCATAAATATTTCCAGATTTATTACATTTAGGGTATTCGGTTTAGCTGGTGTTTATACTAAAAAACACTTATTTTGATTCGCAACCGTTTGCACACATTTATAAACCTGGACATTTATGCAGAAACGGTTACCAAGCAGTTTACCTGTAACATCTGCCATTTTGAATTACTACAAACTTGTATGATCGCAGGCGGAAGGGTATCTGGATTTTTTGGAAGAATTCTTTACTTCGTAAGATATCAGTGCGGATTGAACAGCCCTACTATACAAAGTATTCACTTCAGAATTCGTATTCAAAATTTTCAGATACGCGACGAAACCAGGCTGTCTTTGTTTGGGATTCACGCATCTGCATGTAAACGACAAAACGACGGCCAATACTAAAATGACCAGTCCGGAAAAATATTCTCTAGTGTGATCCTACTTCACCTTAGCCTACATGTTATGATGTTAAAATGCCAGTAAATATCTTAGAGAATCTATTAATTTCAACAGCGTGGTAAAATATATTTTAAATTAGGTTATTCAAAGTAAACATGGCTGAAATAAAAGAACTTCAATGTAGCAGTAGTAAAATGTTTTGATCTCATGTTTAAACCGGTAAGCTGCAGTTGTGTTGGGTTAAAAATGGGATTCCTTAGTGCTCAGAAATACTACCTTATCTTCATTGAGTTGTCTGGTAAAACACATTGTCTTTATATTTTAATAAAAAGACCGTAAACAGGAGGAAATCGCAAACATTTAAATACTTTGGTTCAGTATCTCCTAAAAATCGGAAACTGAGGCTTCCCAATTCCATCAACTCCTCTAATATTTAATTTCACTTGCATACAAACGCCGCAGTGCTGAGGTTAGCTAAGTTCCTGTCTTTTTGTTGGGTTCAAAGGCCTGGTTCCCATTTATTTGAGTATGTCATCATAGAGTAATCTAACTACATGATGCATGTATTCTGAGCATCATTAGGTCACGCTTTAAAACAAGAGAGAACTAGAATAATTGCCGTAGCCATGATGGCCCTGCACATTTTTAGAGTATTATGGTATTTTTAAAAATGGACTATTCGCCCTTTGTGATCAAGCTTCGTTATTTAACCTTTCAGTGAAAATCATTTTACTTAATGCATACTCTCCTCCCATCCTCCAATGTAATAAACGTACAGTCTTTATCGCTTTGTCAGCCATTCACTTCATGCCCAGAAAGCCTAGATTTCCTTCGAATCTGGTGACTTTTGCATGCCTTTGTTGTTCTATGGAGAACAGACAGAAAATTCTCATGGTGGCAATATGTGATATTACAAGTAATTTAAATTTGTGATCCAAAGTGTTTCATTTTCTACTGATTCTGGCAATGGCAATCAGGAAACGTTTTACTTAATTCAGTGTCAACCATTAACAGCCTCTACTGTCAAAATTATAAAAAAGTGAAAACTTTATCATATGTTGATCAAAAGTATGCTTTTCCTTAGCTGTTGACGGTGGATATTTGCAGTGGTCCAATTACACTAAGTGCAGTGTGACTTGTGGTGGAGGATATCAGACTCGATCAAGAACCTGCACCAACCCCTTGCCGTGCTGTGGTGGGAGGAACTGTGATGACCTGGGACCCAAACATAGAGACACGGAAATGTGGAACATGCAAATGCGGTAACACGAAAAGGGAAATCTCCCTGGTTCTTACTCATGAACCCTTTAGGCCCTAAGAGTGATCAGCATCAGATTTCTCCTTGTTATACCATTGGTTTGCAATGAGTGGTCATAAGAATTAAGGACATGATCACACAAAATGAATCTAATTGATAGTTCAACAAATTCTCCCCACTACTTATATTGAAAATGTATAGGGATAACAAATGAGAATTTGAATTTTGATGTTAGGGTTTAAAGGGTTAAGCTAAAACTCAATTCCTTAAACGGTAAACTGTCGCTTAGAAACTTCGCCGACTGAGTTATAGGCGTATCTACCTGAAAACAAAAAAATGCATCTGACTGTAATCCCTCCGATATAAGCGGTCATCCAAATGCACTAAAATACGTGGCAGTTTATGGTAAACACAAATGAAAGTAACATGACAATTAAAAATGGACCAATATCTGTCGTGATACAGAGCATAGATGAGGAACGATTGAACATCCTTAACAGGTGCAAATTGGACCCATGTGAGGGCCCTTCCTTAAACGATTTCAATCCATAATTTTAACTACTTTTAAAGGGGATAAGAGAAAATCAGATGAATTTGGAACCGGCTGTGATGACATCCACACTTTTTTCTTTTCTACATAATCTTATCGGTGGAAGCTTTGTAAATCAATCAATCCATCTATCGATCAACTTTCGATACACCTCTTCCAATACACCATCCAAATTCAAAGAGAGGTGCCTTTATTTACCACAAATTCAATTATGCACATAACCTTTAAGATAATAACTGGGCAAGAAATCAAGCGAGCCTTAAGATGATCTCGCTTTATTCTAAAGAAATGTGATTGGGACATTTTCGCTATATCTTTTGATGAAGTAGCATTTAAGGACATGGCATTTTCTCATTACAAAAGGAAGCCTAAAGGAACCAAAAACTCCATAATTACAACACTACATAGTATACAGTAAGGGAATCCTTTTGAGGCTTGTATGTCTAATGAATCGCCCCGCATATCGCAGTACCTAACCATTTATCCTCTGTTTGGGAGCCTTCGCAACCACAACGACGACAGGAGGGAAGACTTTTAAAAAAATAAGCTTTATAAAAAAACAATAATTTTTCATGTGTTGAGACTATTTGGTACACTTTTTTGCCTTATCTTCGCGTAAAATTTCCTAATTTCACAATTTGTGGAGGTCGTAAAGGTACATTAAAACGGACCAAAATTGTTGTTTTGCTAATTTAAACCTACTGCTTTTCTGCCCTTCTTGTTGCCGTCGTCATCGTCCATTAGGGAGCTTAAGCAACGATGGCGACGGGTACGAAAACGTCTCCCAAAAAGTGAGTTCGCGCTGCTTTAAACTTTATCGCGCTTATTTCATCTCGTTCAATTCGTCAAATGGTGGCCATTTATTTCTGGAGTTGAACACTAAAAGATTCTACCAAAGTTGTGGAAAAGAGAAAGAAAGTAGTTGTCTTATGCTAACGTCCTCCACAAAACGTAAAATTAGTCATTTTCACGTCGTGGTCGTGTATCGACAGCAAAGAAATGTCCAAAAACGCGCGATGCAGGTTCAAAGTTGTTGCTTTGCTAATCTAAGACCAATTGCTTTTCTGCCGTTCTCATTGCTGTCGTCATCGTTGCTTAAGCTCCCTAATTCCTAATGACGCGACTTTGCTTGTTATTCTAGTGACTGACGGTGGATACAGTGAGTGGTGCCCATTTACATCTTGTAGCGTTTCTTGTGGTGGCGGGGTCCGGTACCGCAACAGAACCTGTACCAATCCTCCCCCACAGAACGGAGGAATGGACTGTCGGCACCTCGGGCCTGCCAGGGAGTCACAGAAATGTAACACACAGTCCTGCAGTAAGTTTTGTATTGTCAGAGTGGCGCCCTGACCCTATTTCAGTTCATAATTCGCCTTAATTTGTCAGGATGACAGATACGTATAGAAGTGGTATGTTTGAGTGACCCCAAACCCCTTGAACGAGTAATTGAATCAATCGATACTGAGATAATGTCTCGTCTATGATCACAATGTAACCTTAAAAGTTTTCTATCTTATTCTCGAGCTCGTACTAACTGAAGAACGCCTTAATCAAAGGTAAACGACAAATTTGACAGGTACTATCAGGTGAAAAGGCGGGTCGAACTGGTCGAAACGCGAGGCTTTTCCCTGGATTCTGGACAACAGAAAAAGCAAACTTATAACAGATGATCAGTAACCTCAAACAATATTCACTTTATTTTTTCTATGAAAGGTCCTGTTCAGATTTCAAAATTGTTGTAATTTTCAAGAACAATGTTGTTTATGACAATTTATGACGTGTTTATTTTTAACGAGGCCTATACCTCGACATTTCACGGACTTTGTAAATCAAGTTCAGTTGCATGTTTTAGATCAAGGTAACTACACAGAATGGACCAACTGGTCTGAGTGCAGTGCAACATGTGGAGGTGGAGCCCAGATACGGTCACGAACCTGCACAAATCCTCCCCCAAAGGTAGGTGGTAAAGACTGCAAGGAAACCATTGGACCTGCACAACAGTCGAGACAATGTGACACAGGACCATGCCGTAAGTGTTTGTAATTTCTACTTTGATGAAATTGTTTTTAAACCATTACTTACAAGTAATTATTTTCTTTTCCTTTTTGCTCACTGTTTTTTTTCCGAAATAAAACTGAGGGGGGAGGGAATGAAACATGCATATGACAGACTAATATTGACATCGGTCCTATCTAAGAATTCATAACAGACAAAGGAAATGTTGCAGGCGACAAATGGACGAGTGATCAACCTTAAGGACTTGATAAGCTAATGATTGCTGCGGCCCTCCCTGTCTGCAGCGATTTGAGTGGCTTTATTCCCTGCGTCTAGTTTTTACACGTATGACTTCTTATAAATAAATACGGGCCCCTCCTTTTAGCAACTGACGGAAATTACACGGAATGGACAAAATGGTCTGACTGCAGTGCAAGTTGTGCTGGAGGTTTGAAAACACGAGTAAGGACTTGCACCAATCCCTCGCCTCAAAATGGTGGAAAAAGCTGTATTGATTTGGGATCCGCTTCTGAAACAGCTGAATGCAACCCAGATCCATGCCGTAAGTAAATGTTCTTGCTAAGTAAATCATTTAAAACAAGTTCCTTCACTTTAAAATCATTTAATTGCAGAGTCGAAGAGGTCGTGTGTTTTTTCCTTTCAGCTATCGACGGTAATTACACTGAATGGACAAAGTGGTCAGACTGCGGTGCAACTTGTGGTGGCGGTTCGAAGACGCGAACAAGATTTTGTACCAATCCCACTCCAAGTCACGGTGGTAAGAACTGCGATGACCTGGGCCCCACTTCTGAGACTGTGTCATGCAACCCAGATCCTTGCCGTGAGTAATATGATTGTGCTATATAATTTTGTCTACTTGCAATCACACAATGTTTATTGCCAGCTAGATAGAAGATTCCGGTTCTGTTCATTTTTCAGCTATTGATGGTAATTACACTGAATGGACCGAGTGGTCCGACTGCACCGCAACATGTGGTGGAGGTTCCAAAACCCGGATAAGGACTTGCACCAATCCCCCGCCGCAACATGGTGGGAACAACTGTGTTGAACTAGGACCAGACACGGAAACGGTGAAGTGTAGCCGGGATCCCTGCCGTGAGTAACTGAATAGTTTCTTTCTAACATAATGTCACATTTCGATACAATATTAAGTACAGTCGAACCCCTCTTAAGGGAGGTGGTCTCAAACGAAAATTGAACTACCTACCGTCAAGCGCCTTCAGTCACGCACGTGGTCATTTGTGTGTCTCGCGCGTTTCGCTTGAAGGACCAAGAGAGAGAGAGAGACTGTTCGTAATCTGAACTACAAGGGGTCTTTTCCGAGAAGAGGTTCCGATAAATCTACTTTTTGAGAGAAAATATTTTGTACGCAATTTCTAAGTTACGGGGGATACGAGCAGTTCCGTTCTTAACCAAAAGCTTTTAGAATTCTTCAAGTAGCGTAGTTCACATAGCGAACACAAAGAGCAGGACTATGAGTAAAGTGATTATTTACAACAGCCTCGAAACAATGGAGAACAATAAAACCGTTACCCCAATGAATTATGAGAGGTAGTCGTTTTGTTCTTTACGAGAGGTTCCGATAATACTGTAATAATAGGGCTTTGACTGAAAAGTTGTTGGTATCAGTTTGCATTGTTGGTCCACTATGGCAGGTGGCTGAGTATGGAGATTCCGTCGTACTATTTCTCCAACCATTTGATCCTGGGAACGTTCAGTGAACATATCATATACATGTAATACTCCCTATTTATTTTACAGCAATCGATGGTAATTATACTGAATGGACAACATGGTCCGATTGTAGTGAAACTTGCGGTGGGGGTTCTAAGACGCGTACAAGAACCTGCACAAATCCCCTACCACAACACAGTGGAAAAAACTGCTCTAAACTGGGGCCAGCTTCTCAGACTGTGAATTGCAGCACAGATCCTTGTCGTGAGTAAATATGTAGTATTTACTTGTATCACGAGAATCATCTGGACCAGCGTAGATTACTTCTGATAAATAGCATGGTTTACATCTACTTATAATAAAGCGGATATGTCTAAAAGCTGGGAACGCAGGTTGCTTGATTTCCTGCCTTGTAATTATAGCCGGGTTGTTTCTTGAAAAAGTTATCGGTAAATGGACCTTTTCCGTCCAACAGTTAGCCATGATAAACATTAAGACTACAACCACTGCTACTACAACCGCTTTTTTCTCTTCTCCCTGTTTTCTTCCTCTTCGCTCTTTCTTTTTCGTCTTTCCTTACTTCGTTTTTGTGATTTTGGAACTTATCGGGCCCCCAAAAAATGTCTTTTGACGGTTTTTCACTCAAATGACTGCACATTTCGTTGGGATGGTTTTGAAAAAATCAGCTATAATTATGTAATAGATTATGTGTGAGAATGGATGGTGATTAAAATCACTTCTTCTTTTAAAAAAATAGAATCAATTTAGGTTTCTGGGAAATTGCCCACGTACCCCTCCACTAAGCCAACATTATCACTCACCTCTCACTTAGGGCAAAATGTTGGCTTAGGGAGGGGTAGGTGGTCAGTTTCGCGGAAACCTAAACTGATCCAAAAAATGTCCTTCATGGATAATGTCTTTTTCTTTTTTATTTTTCAGCAATCGATGGTAATTACACTGAATGGACCAAATGGTCCGATTGCAGCGCAACTTGTGGCGGGGGCTCAAAAACACGAGTAAGGGCTTGCACCAATCCCCCGCCACAACACGGTGGGAAGAACTGTATTGAACTGGGTCCCGCTTCTGCGACTATGGAATGCAGCCCGAATCCCTGTCGTGAGTAAACGTGTTAATAACTTGTAAAATCAAAAGGCCATTAACTCTCACTTTCAAAACGAGGCCAAGTCTAAAACTTTGTGAAATTAGTTGCTTTGCATAAGAATAAGAAATCATTTTCAAACCAATGTCTTTGCACTTGGCATCGCTCTGAAAGAGAGGCTTAGGCAAGTCGGAAATGGCGTATTACCATTGCCAGCGCTGTTTCATGACCATAATTGTTTTAGTCACCAACCGATGTTTGCCGGGCAGTAGAGCACAGAAAAGCAACGTGACATAGGGTTGCTGAAATATGGACAAGGAATTAAGCAAATTCACAACTGACACATTGCTCATAAGAGCTATGTCAAGGTTTTAGATTATATGAAGCAAGCAATACCTCTGTCAAGAGAGTCGTTTTTTTATTTTCGACGATTACTGTCGCGTGAAAAGAAGAGGAAGGTTTAGTTTGCCAAGCTGTAGATATCCCAGTAGATGTCGGGTACGGAAAGAAGTGAAAAAAAACGTTAGTTAATTATTTTTTTGCCATTTTTATTTCAGCAATTGATGGGAATTACACTGAATGGACCAAATGGTCCGACTGCAGTGCAACTTGTGGAAATGGTTCGAAAACACGGATAAGGTCTTGTACCAATCCCCCACCCCAATACGGTGGGGATAACTGCGTTGATCTAGGACCAGATACTGATATCACAGAATGCAATCTAAAACCCTGCAGTAAGTACATACTTCAGGTTCATTTTATTGTAAAAAGACTATATAAGTTTCAATTGTCACTTGTGAAGTAGTATCCGTGTTCTGCGAAAACAGCCGTCTCTTCCTGCCGGTAGCCTGCGTGGCAGGCGCAAAAAGGGGAGGTGGAGGGGGGAGGGAGAAAGGGAAATCCCCCTCCCCTTTTTCCCTTCCTTCCTATCCCCTACCCCCTACCCCTTTCGACACCTGCTACGCAGGCTACCTGCCGGGGTTTTTCCTCTCACTTCGCCGCGGGGGACACGTCTATCCCTAGCAGGGAAACGTGTTTAGCGGTGAGGGCGAGGAGCGATGAATGTTCCCGCAGGCTACACTTAAAAGCGTTTGACAAACCCGCAATTGACTGCGTCTGTCAGAGTTAGCAATGCCCATGAAAACCGATTTTCTTCTTCTGACTCCTCTTTGTTTAGTATCGCCCATAGGGAGATGCAGTTCAAAGAACATAGCGGAACGAGGCACGCGACATTTTTCAAGTAGCCCCCTCCCCCCGGAACCATAATCTGGGGTCCAGACAATTACAAACTGTGCGCTTCTTATTTTTATTTTTTCAGCTCCTCCATGCGCTGCTGGCCTCGACATTGGCCTCGTTGTTGATAAATCAAAAAGTATTAACAAAAATCAAATGAAACTGGTGAGGGAATCACTTGTGAAACTTGTGGACAGTTTCAACCCAGCTCCAGACAAAGATCATTTTGGATTAATAACGTTCAACAACAAAGCTTCCGTTAACTTTAAACTAAACGACAAAGAATTCTACGACAAATATCAGCTTGAAAAGCGCATCGGAGAGATGAGTTTAGATCGAGCTTATAAAACGCGAACTGACCTTGCCATGAATGCAGCTAGAGATGAATTGTTTACATCAAGTGGTGGAGACCGACCGGACAAACCAAACGTCATGATTGTGCTAACGGATGGTAAACCACAAGGTCTACCCAAACGTTTTAGCTTTGAGAAGTTTTCTGCTGACTTCTACGGAGACCCCAAGGTACTGAGGTCACATGTTAACTTTCAGATAGCCTTCGTGACCCACGGGGGGGGTTAGTATCATGCATAGGCTATATAGGTATGTGCCGCTGTGAAGGGTATTTTCAAGCAGTTCACTCTGGGATAGGGTATATAAATCAGAGAGTTTGGGACAAGATCAGGATACAGGGTATCATTTTTCAGGAAACTGATCAATTGGTTGAGGATTTTATTCTGGACTAGGGAAACCGGGAATTGTCACTCGAAAATATTAAAAAAAATCAATTCTGTTTTGTTTTAGCTGAACTGTGCTAGTGATCTCCGTAGTTCCTTGAAAACAGCTACTCTAGGATGGGGGGGATTTGGCGAGCTTAGTCTAGCATAGGGTACCAAAATTCAGCTGAACTAGCTCTGGTATAGACTAAGGGTTCCAGGGCCCCAGCAGCACATCCCCACTCAAGAATTCCTGAGGTACCCCCCTTCCCGCGCACTGTGTGGCAGGCGCAAGAAGGGGAGGGAAGGGGTAGAGAAAAGCAAAAGCAAAAGGAAAAGGGAAGTGTTTCTTTGTTTCTCAACCCAATCATTGTCTCTTTTCCCTCCTCTCCTAACCCCTTTCGACACCTGTCACACATGCTACATGTCAGATAATAATCGTATGAAAAAGACATTTTAGGTAACATCCGGGGGGAAAGTATTCCCAGGAATTCTTGGTGGGGGTGCGCCGTTCAAAAAATGTCATTTTCCATACCCATTTTCAGACCTGGAAGTGGTCACCTAAACTCAACATTACATGTTTACAAAACACATTGCTGAGCCGAGATAAAAACCGCAATAAATAGATTTTGTTAGAATCCACATAGTAATTCGCATAGTACAATATATTTCTTATTCATCAGTTTTGAATTGAAACGACGAACACATACAACCGTAGTTCCTTCGTGTGGGTTGGCTGCCGAAATTCTGATAAACTCGCCAAAGGACACAACGTTAAGCACTTGATTTTGTCTCGTACACCTGATTCTATGGGATGCCTGTAGTAGAGGAACTTAGAAGAATAAGCAACGCTTTTTGCGAACAGTACTGAAGGGGACGTTGGCCTCAGCTTCAGCAGGTTCACAGGATTAGGACGCATTTATAACTGAGGTATAGAATCTTTCGAACAGTAATATGTAATATTTTTCCTGTTCTTTTACTTAGGTGACTGGTTTGTACACGGTAGCAGTTGGCATTGGAAAAGGAATAAATCATGAAGTTCTTCGTCAAATCGCTGGTGAGCAGGGAAGTGTATTTGCCACTCAAGGCTTCGACGAACTGGCCGTAGAGCTTCCCAAAATCAAGAAGAAACTTTGTGGTACGCTCTATTGAAATTAGCATTTTGTAACAATTATATAATACTATTCTTACCGGGGAAAACACGCACAAAAGCCCAACTTAGCATCAATGCACTTCCTAACATTCTAAGCGTGGCCCGGGAAAATACACAGCATACCCACAGACCTTGTCTCTACGTTTAAAGAACATTCTGCTTGATTATTCAGCCAGTTCTAGTAAGGTTTAGGTCTCAGCACCCTTGATATCGACCGGATAGCAGTTCTCTCCTCACCCTACTCCCCGAAGTATTCCCCTCGTATTCTTTCCTGGTCCACCGACCTCGCAAGTCCTCGGGCCGATTCTCGCATATCTTATATAGGCTCATCTGGCTTTGTGTGCGGGTGTTCCGGGTGAGAATCTACTACTGTCGGGAGCGTAGCCAGCTCATACACCTACAAAATGTTGGTTTGATCACTCTACCGCTTGTAATAAATTTTACGTTGTCGGGGGGAGCTAAAACGCTTAAGAGCTCAAAGTGTTGGTGAGGTCAGTGCGTACTAGTCATACGTGCAATTTTCAGGATATGTGGTAATGAAAGTCAGCCAGGCCTACAAATACTCGAAACGCAGGCTATCCCATTACTGTACCGACATGGTTTAAAAGGGACCATCTAAAAACACCCTAGGGTGTGCCCAGTGCAACAGAACGGGCGCGTCAGTTGACCACGGCGCGTGCAAATCAAACAACTGGCAGGCTTGACCAATGGCAGAGTGGTATTTAAAATTGGGCACCGGACCTCGCGTTTAGTCCTTTCCACGCGCTTTCCCGTCGTCAACTGACGTTCCCGTTCTGTTGCTAAATCAGCCTATAATTATTAGAAGAGAAGTCTTTAACAAAGACTGTGCGTATGAATGAACTACAGCTATATGTGATAAACAGAGGAAAGAGGGAACGGATGAACTGGAAATTGTATAAGACTGGGAAGCGGGAAAAATTTCACGACAATAATAAGCCAAGAAATAAAGGGGGCGGCAACAGGGAATACAAGGTACGGAAGGAGGAAGCTTTGGATCAGAAACATTGTGAAAGCAAAACCACAACGACATCCAGTGAGGGTCCGCCGGATCTTTAGTAGACCTTGATCAGTAAATTCTTCAGTACCAAATTTTAAACTTAAAACAGTTAACTGATCCTTACGGCGGGAAGAGTGATTGAAAAAATATATAAAGAAAAAAAAGAATTATATTTGCCCGATATTTCGGTTTGCAACACAAATCTTCAACGGGGGCTGCAAAAGAAAAATTAATACAGATAAAAGATGAACGTTACATATATCCGAGATTTGAATACAGAGCAAATAGAAAATGATATGCTACTAAAAAGAAAAATGTCACTAACTGAGTTAGCTCGTCTACTTATACCATGAGGTTCTAAAGTCATAGTTTTGTCAATGAGGTGAGCCTCGCGTGCCTTTCTGTCAGAGTAAAGTTTTGGACACCCCCCCCCCCTCAGAGGCAGCATGGCCTACTGGCCATGAAAACTGGACTGTTTTACATTCATTTAATCAATCTTGTCGTCTTTTTTGTTTTAAGGTTAAAATATATCTACAAGATTGACATCACATCACCAGAAGGTTAAAAGGGAAGACTCGTTTTCATCACATATCTTGGGACTTAAACCGCGAACATTTTCGTGTCAATTTTTGTTTTAAGGGTAACTTTAGAGTAAAGCTTCACCAAATAATCTGAAATAAACCTGTAATTTCTACTTTTTCTTAAAATGTTTGGCTGTAAAAAAATCCGCCAAAACTCTTCTTAAAGGCATTTTTACGTTCTATCCTCTACCGACTTGATTATCCAATTGGCCTCGTAAATTCCACCATTAATATCTTTATTCTATATTTTATCTTTGTTCAATTTTTTTTTGAGATATCTGCATACATTTTAAACCACATTTTTACAACAAAATGTAAACAACGTCCAAATCTCACACATATTTTCCCTAACTTCAGAAGATAAACCTCAGAACTCTCAACTTTGATGTCTGCAAGTTTGAAGTCAATCCTGACCATACAACTCCTTGCACAAAATGCTGGTCAAATTTATCCTTAAAATGCTTTGCTAACACATTTTTGAAAGCTGACGCACATAGAGGAAGAGTGCCGACGGACACTCTCTCGAACTCTCCTATCTGAAAGGGTATTAGTCTTACCCAAAGCTTGATTACAACAAACTGAGTAATCAGAAACCTACAGCGACTACAGCTAGCTGAAGCACTACAAGAAGAACAACGTTATGCTGAGTGCGCAGTGAGATTAAAGGAACTTCTATTCTTCAAACTTACTTTGTATTTATCCCTCTCTTTTAGAAACAACTATTAAGAAAGCAAAATAAACCATATACGAAAAACTCTCAAGAGTTGTTAGCATCGCAGGTTCGCGTTTCAGAGGAGAATTAAAGCCGCCAACTCCAGTACTTCGATTCCAACCATCCATTTCCCACCTACAGTGAAAACCTTTGTATTTGGTAATTAATTCAGCTGTTAATTCAAGCTTTTTGGACTCGCCACCACATTTACTCGGGCAGTTTACCATTTAGAGATGAAGAAAAAAAATGACATTTGCCTTATTCTTCTCATTATCCCCAATGGAAAACTGCTCGTGCCAATGTGATCGCAAGTCTAAAAACCTTGAATAAATTACCAAGTACAACGGTTTTCATTCAGCCCTTCATTGCCGCTGAAACAATGGATGCTTAGAAGTACTGGAGTTGGATGCTTTGTTTCTCCTAAAAACCGGAACCTTCGGTGCAAAAAACTGGTAGGATATTTCCGTATATGCTATATTTTGCCTTTTTGAATATATTTTTCGAAAAGAAAGAGGAAAATACACACTGACATTGATAAATAGAAGTCCTTTAATGTCGTCCCACAGCCCGCAGTCAGCATAAAGTCGTTCTTCCTGTAGGACTAACTGTATTTGTCGTAGGTCTCTGATTATTCAGTTTCTTGCAATAAAGCTTTGGGTAAGAATACCCTTGCAGATAGGAGATAGTCCATTGGCACTCTTCCCGGCTCTATTTGTGCGTCAACTTTTACGCTATTAAGATATGTTTATAACGTAGAATTTAAAGGTTAAAATTGACCAGCACTGTCTTCAAACTTGGAGATATAAAATTAGAGAGCTCTGCGGCTTATTTGCTACAGTTAGGGAAAAAATCTGTCGTGGGAATTCGAAGTTGTTACATTTTTCGTAAAAAGGCTCTTTTAAATATATGCAGATATCTCAAACGGTCTTAGACCTACAATTCAAGAACAAGTTAAAGTTCCACCATTCTTCATTAAGGATACCAACCCCAACTGAAAATAGAAATCGGTAAAATCGTTCCTGCTGCAAAACGCGATTCATTCTAATTCAGCATTGTGAAGTTTATGAATTTGCGTGTAATCTGTGTGATGCTCAGTCCGACATCTTCATCAACGCATTGCTGAACACAAGTATTCAGCTATCGGTAACAGACGTAACATGTTTTAGAAGCTCACGGTGACTAAAACTTTTTAAGGAGAGTCAATTTCGTGTTCTTAAGAAGTGGCACGGAAAATTTGACTTCCTCGTTTACGAAATGTTATTCATCAAATAACTAAGGCCTAGCCTTAATACTCAGAGTGACAACGTTTATGCTTAAGTCCTTTTAAGTTCTAAGATATTTTTGTATGTTACGTCTCTTTTTAATGAGCTAGAGTGATTTTACTTAACCCTTAAAATAGGTGGTAGAATACATACGCGTTATTCGATGGTTTAGCATATAATACGTGCGGATATTTTGCGAGTTGCGTTGTATTTTTCCGAGCCCCGCAGGGACGAGGAAAAATACGAGCAATGAGCAAAATGTCCGCTCGTATTATATGCTAAACCATCAAATAAGAGGTTTATTATTCCACTACAAAAAAAAATTATGTGGCAATTGGCTTCTATCTTTTGGTAAGAGTATTCAGAGACATCCTGATTCTGTCTGTGAGAATGACGTTAACAATTAGCAAAATGTGACCCTCCACAGGATTTTAATGCTAAAGGTGAAAGCACGCGCACGACACGCCTTCACTTTAAAACAAAAGAATTTATTTTAACACGCTTTAGCACGCTTGCAATCTCGCCTCATTAGCAGTTTCTTTTGTTTCAGAGGACACGCTTGAGACAATTAAGCGTGAGCAAGTCGAACAAAAGAGCGTGTTAAAGTTTTCAAACAAAAGCCCCGTGCGAAAAAGCACAAGACGCTTTCAGTGCGCGCAAAAGCACGCAAGGCGTGCTATTTATAAGTTAAATAAATTTCCTCTACAAAAAGGAACCGCAAATGATTATGGACGCATCCTTTTTTGGTAAGTATCGAGAAGGAAAAAGTTTTACCTCAGCGATCGCAGCGATAGTATCTGATTGAAAAAATGTTGTCGCTTGAAAAGTATAAACAGTGAATGGTGGGACCTAGTGGATTTATGGGTAGAACTTTATTAGCATTGCTTAATCAAAGTTTTTTCCAGAAATGTTTACCGACGAAGCTGTGCAAAGGTTATCTTAATTTTCCTTAATTTATAACACATTTGCAATTTTCTCAGAAACAGTGATCTTTCGGACTTTAGTCACTTTCTCGCCGATCGCAGCAATCGCAGCGATCAAACAGCGATCAAGTGCCAGGATCGCTAAATTGTATTTATTTTTTAGCGATTGCAAGGATCGTAGTGATCAAATTAAATCTAGATGTACCAAAATTCCAGCACGGTTGCAATGTTGCTTAATTGATCCGGCCGGCAATAACACAAAAAGCGAAACCGGCATTTAAACAATTTATGCAAATCTGTTCTTCTTGAAATAGTACATCGCGTATGCTTCAGTCTTATTGTCCAAATTCCGTAATCATCCTGGGCCCAGTTGTTCGAAGGCCGATTCGCGCTTAACCCGGGGTTAAATTTAACCCTGATTTCTTTTTCTTGTGTTCAAAAGCATTTTCTCGGATAATTTTCTCTGTTTATTTACTGAGCTTGCCATCATCAACTTGTAGACA